TATAATGGTAGAGTCCATCCAATGAACAATTGCCATGGACATGTCAGTAGCTTGTAGAACTCCCACAAAGACTAGAAAGTAACAGTTGCTGCTGAAGTCTGGCACAACTTGAAACAATTACTGCTTTTGCAAGTACGCAAAAGCACATCACTGGAGACAAATACCCAATCTGGGAAAATGCTGCAATGCAAGCAATCCTTCCATGTACAAGCTTCTGGTGGTTGCCAAGCAGAAAAATAGCCCGAAAATGTCTCAAGCTGTGCTCCTCCATGAAAAACTAAATTAAACAAAAGTCAGGAAACAACACCAATGAGAAACCAGAGTAGAGAGGTGGCTTGGCTGTCTAGAAAGTTGCAGCAGGCTCCCAGCACCCAAATGAGCCTCAGAAATTAGAGCATTCTCACAGAAGCATCTACTGAACTACCTTCCAAGTGGATGTGGAGCATCATTAGCTGGCAAGCATGCATTCGCTTTGCTGCTTATAGCGAATGCCCTCGTGAGGTATTTGATATAGACTAGGTAGTGCGGCTTTGGAGACCTGAGCATGCTCTATTGACGAGCTCTCCCATGTTGAGGCGCTAGTAGCAATTGCCGCACATGCACCTCTCTTAATACCCGAAAGACACACAAAAGCTACAAAACAATGCCGAAGGCACAGAATTGTAGCTCAGGGGATGCTGGGCACTTAACCCACTGAGCAACATTTGCCCTGTTGCAATCTCATAAGCATACAACTCCTTTGTCACACAACACTCTTACAAGATAACGGAGATACAGAGTGGGGAAGCATAACCTCCACAGGGTTGTTGGTTGGACACTCCATGGGAGGAACGCCACTGATATGCCATCGAGGTATCGGGCCCAGCCTACACCCGCTTGTGCTCTACTGCCTAGTACGCGTCTTGCGGTGTATGACGAAGCTCATATGTTCCGGCTTGGCAAGGATTCAAGGAACAAGGAGAATGCAGCTGCTGTTCTCCTGGCTCTGGGCCAGAACAACTCATCTCAACAGTACGTGCCTTGGTGGTGGAGCTCGAGCAAAATTGCACCAGCAGGGCCAGGCGCAAAGCGAGTTTGATCCTGGAGTTGATGCACAAGCAACAGCAAGAACAGTTGAGCAAGCAAGGAGAAGAGAACCAAACAGGATCAACAATTCAATGCCGTTAATACGTTCTCGACATGCTTACACAAGCAGGGCAGACAGGATGGCGCTTCAAAGTGCTGTGCTGGGCGGTTCACCATCAATCAACAACTGTTCGTCCTCAGGCCAAGCTTGGCGGTTTGTTCATTCACTGGTCTCTGAGCATGAGCAGAGCCGAAGCAGCAGTTTTACACAGACTTGGTTTGGATTGACAGGGATGGCGCAATGGAATGTGGCAGCTCCTCTCGTTCTAACGAGCGTCATGATTCAGCTGCGCAGCCGGATGAATCGCATGCACTTGGAGGTGGATGGATTGGACGCGGACACTTAACGTGTACTGTCTTACACAAAGCAACGAGACGATCTTTAATGTTTGAAAGCAACTTCCCATAAGCCAAAATGTCAAGTAAAGCATATCTTTTGTTTGTGGCGGTTCAACATCACGGGCACTCAATTCACATTCGCCAGGATCAGGCAGGATCCCTGCCGAAAATCCTGGTAGCTAAAGTTCATTGCAACATCCAAGGGCGATGTTTCACACTGTTCGACAATACAAAATTAGCCATGGCAGTGAAGATTAGGAACGAAATGACACGAGCTCGTTCGCCGTCCATCCGTCCGTCCTGCTCCTATATTGCTTGTGATATACCAAGCAAGCTTTTAATACCACCAAAATAGCACTCATTGAATTGAGTTTGGTCAATCTGAGCGCTTGCTTTGCTTGCGAGAGATACTTCTTCAGCTCAAGAAACAGAGTGACTGCGATGGTGCTGGCAAGGACGCCTTTGGCCACTGGATAGATTGTTGTTTGGAGTGGCGGGCCTCGTACCGGATCTTGCAGGAAGAGCTTCAAACTCATTAGTACTACTTGTGAATGTGGAGCGGTGCTGTTCCTCTTCGTCCACGTCGGTGGAGGTGGTGGTGGTATTGCTAACGTCATAGCACGCATTGTATTTGCCCCTCCACAAGCTCCCCAGCCCGAGCTTTTTAAACGTCTTGAGCAGCCTGTGACCAAAGTTGATGCCGGCCCGTTGGCTGTGCAACATTTGGCCTATACAGTTTGTCGAGTAGGAGGCCTTCTTGTGAGCGTTGGGGCCGCTTGCGTTTAAGTGCTCCATGCCCGGGCATTTGTTCTGTTGCAGCGTCTTCTTCACCTGCGCAAGCTCCTTCTCGAGGTGCTTGAGTCGCGACTTGGCTGCTTCAAAGTCACGGTTGACATACAAGGCCCTGGTGTTGTGCTGAGAATCCACGACGTAAGGGAAGTCGGACGAAGGGCACTTGCTACTATCATCGGGCTGCGCCTGGGTGGAGCCGCTGAACTGCTCGCGGTGGAACCGATGGCTGGATGATCTCTTCGGAGCTGCCTCGGCCGCGATCCTGCCGTTTGTGTTGGTGGTGGCTACGGAGGATGAGACACGGATGTCTTTGCAAGGCTCGGGACTAGAACAAGCAACAGCCGTGTCGTGTCTGGGAAGCTCTCCGCTGGGGGGCACTGGCGGTGCTGGCGACGAGTGATGGCGGCTCTGAAGCTGCTCCATGAACATAGCTTGCACGATAGTCCTCAGGGGCATGAGCTCGTTTTGCACGGCGTGAATGCACGCCTCTTGGGACAGCTTCTGGCAATTGAGGCTCCTACACACGAGCAGTCGCTCCGAGTGTGTTACATGGGGATGGGACTGCGCAAAAGCGTTCGCAGTGATGATCATATTGATAGACATGACTTACCTTCAAGTAGACATGGATCGCCTTGTAGAGCTGGTCGTGGCTTGTCCGAGCACAAGCCGGGAAGACGTCAATGAGGTCAGACAAGGTGACAGGGTTGATCCCTGGATCATATCCCAGATACTCCAAATAACCATCCCAGATCTTGGAAACGGTATTCACTGCTTCAATGTTGGTGAAGAAAAGCAGTGTTTCGTCCCTGCTGCTGCTAAACACATGACTTCCACCACCACCTTGCTTACGATCATCTTGTTGTTGCTGCTGCTGCTGCTGCAAAAAGAGCGAAGCAATCTGGCGGGCACTCTCCAGCTGAGCCTTTGACGTCCGACCATCCTTGAGTGGCAGCCCCAGAAGCAAATCGTCCACGCTCGCAAGCTCCAGCTGACAGGCAATCCGGGTCTCTATCTGGAGCCGGCATTCCGTGCTAGCGCCGACTCCCAGTGCATGCCGCAGAAGCCGGAAGAGGAAGCTCACCGGGAGAAGCTGCTGCTTCTCCACGGGCAGCAAGCGTACCATGGACTCTAGCAGCCGGCACTTGTCGCTCCTTTGCTCCAGCTTCTCCAGCCTCTGGCTGCCGCACCACAAGTAGTAGTCCCTGTTCTTGTGCTGCTGGTCCGCGTCGCCACGACCAAATATCCACCTCTCCACGCACTTGATCATGAGCTGCCCGATGACGCGCTCCGCCATCCCTTGCCTCCGGGTGGCAGCGACGATCCTCGCAAACAAGGCATATGGGAGCTCCACCAGCTGTTGCATCCACCACTCCGGAGCTGCAATGGATTCTTGGTCGTCCACCAGCTGGGTGCAAGCGATGGAGGCGAGTGAATCGACACAGCGGGTGACAATGAGGAGCTCGTCGGCGAGCGGGAGGAGGCGTTGGATGTCGGCGGCAAGAACACCGATGCTGCCCTCCCAGCTCTGGAGTGCCACTTTGGTGAGGTACATGTCGCACAGCTCCGCCAGGCTGCCCCGACCCATCTCCGCGCTCATCTCCAGGTACTCGGCAGCGCAGCGCAGCATGGCCACATTGCTCGGCTCCACCACGATGTGAGCGCCGTAGCAAAACGCTGCCGCCCACCCAAATGCCTCGGCGCCGCCAGGAAAGTCGCCACCCAGCTCCACCTCTACCACCTCTCCGCTCGCTTTCTTCGACTTGGCAGATTGGAGCACTCGCCGCAGAAGCCCACTCCTTGACACCAGCGGCAGCTGTAACGGATGGCCATTCGATCAGTATCTCGGTTTTCCAAAGCTTTGGAACTGTACCTCGTGGAGCTCAAAGGTCGCGCCTTGGACATGAACTCTCACCCTCGCTACCGCTCCGGTGGCCTCACACCTACATACCATCCAAAGCAATGAATCCAATGAATCCAATAAATCAGACCCACCATGCCAAGACGCTCTGCTGGAGGAGGAGTCTGGGCGAGGAGGAGGCAGAGGATGGTGAAGAAGAGGATGTCGACGACGAGGACCATGTCGATGCCACATTGACATTGCCGTGATCATGCATCACTACCATGCCCACATCCTTGCTCTCCCGATCAAGCTCCTTCTCTTGGCGGCACGGATATCCCACAGCAGATGATCGATCATCTGCTGCTACCCCAGGGCTGGACAGCATCTCTGGCTCCACCGGCTCGTCTTCAAACGACTCGAAGATGGTCTCCATCCTCGCGGGCCTTGCGAACTCCTCGATCGCCGCACATAAATCTTCCTCTTCCAGTTGCATCAGCTCCTCCTGTGCCTGGGGATCACAGGAGGAAGAGGGGGACAGTAGCACACCTCTGGCCATGGCTTGATTCTTCAATCCTAGAGAAGTTCCTCGTTCTTCTTCAGACACAAAGATGGGAAGGGAGGGAGAAACACAAACACGTCCATCCCGGGCATTTTCAAGTGTGTGGAAAGCGACTAGCGCTGAGGGGAGAGAGAGAGAGAGAGAGAATATGCGATAATACGATCACTGGTTAAAAGCAAGTTGGCGTTGGCCCAGTCAAATTATCCAGTCGTCATCGTCAATCGTCATTCTCTCTCTGGTTTCGAATTTAAGAGGTTGGTTGGGCTCGATGAATCATTAAACTCGAAATCTTCCCTTCCTCTTAACTCTTCCTCGAGCCTCAAAACGAAACAATCCTCCTCGGTCTAGCTAAAACCCGTATTTCTTGAGTTGGAATTCCACACATGGAAAGATTACAAGCTTATACTCGCGAATAGCGCATTCAAGAATAAAAAAAAACCGGTCCGTTATTGTTCCATCGCCCGACTGGAAACTCAAAGCAGCTTCTCGACTGATCGAGCTCAAACGGATCACGGATGGATGAGACCTCGAGCGTCCAGCGGCTAACTTGGGCTAGCACACTGCGCTTGCTTGTGTATATCACACATACATACCTTGGTTTTTATTCTCGCTGTAGCACCGCCTTTGGTAGCATACTTACGTAGAAGATAGACTCGTCCGCCGCTGGATGCGAGCGAGATGAGAGGATGGATCAACCACGCCGTTGCTCACGATGCCCGCTCCACCCAGCTGCTGCTGAGAACTTGGACTTTCGCAGCTGCGGCTGGCTGGATGTAAACGAAGACGAGGCTCCCGTGCGGCGACAAGGAATGCAGCCACTCGGGGAAAGTGTAGGCAGTGGCGTCGGTCTTGGTGAGCCCCCACAGCGGGCCTTGGAGATTGTCAATGCGGAGGTTGAGGCTCGACAGCGTGTGCTTGGATGCATTGGTGGCATTCACCGCGTACTTGTAGTATGTCTGGCCCTTGAACAGCCAAGATGCCACTGTCTCGTGCGTTAACTCCACCGAGTCATCTGGATATGCAAACGCGGCTGGCAGTGTCAGAGAAAGAAAAGCTTCCACCAGCACGGAATTAGCTACCTGGACGGCTTGCAGCACTGGTTGGAGGCAGCGGCAATGCCTCCACTGGGTTTGTGCTCAAGTCGGATCCGGAGTCGTCGCGGGAGTTGTAGTAGCCGCCGTGGAGCCTGGCGAGAACGCCCATGAGCGGGCCGTTTGTGTAGATTGCTGGTTCCGTTTGCTCAAAGTTGTCCCTCTCGTCCGCAAAGTTGTCGTTTTGATCCGGTCCTCCCACCACGGCACCCGTGAGAATGTTGGGATCGCGGTCTCGCCTCTTGTACCAGGTTGCATATCCACCGCGGCAGCTCACGAACGAGGGGTTCACCTTGTACGACACAATGGACGAGGCTCGGTGGTGAACTTCCTGGGGAAAGTTGGCACCAAACCCAACCATGTAACTCGTCGCTCGAGGATTGTCTCCCAAGATGTAGTCCACCTGTGTTGAAGAACACACGCAACGTTGATCCAATCCAGGAAAGGGTATTTGACTTGAGAAATTTACCTGAGACTGTGCCATCCGAAGCAGCTCGCCTGGCCCAACTCTCTGCCCCGGGCACTGGAGTTGCTGCCCGGAGCTTGCTAGATAATCCGAGTACACGGTGAGAAGGAACGCTGCGCCCGTCACATATTGCATGTTGTTCCAAGATCTTACGTAGAGCAAGCCACCTGCATGTGAAACATAAGATGACATTTGTGAAGTTGCTAAGAACACTTACCCGGTGTCCGCTGGACGTTTCCTCCGCCGCCGTTCTTTTGCAAGCAGGCGCAGAGGAAGAAATTGGCTTTGGACTGGTAGCTCCTCAACACCGATGCGTGCTGCCCTCCTCTCCCTTGAAGCAACACCTGTCCGCATCCAAAGGGAAGAAATTTCAGTTCATGTAGTATAAGAGTCGCTTGGATACCTTGGAAGCAAGGACTTGGACACCCGCATACTTGACGTCCCAACTGAATTCTTTCATGTCCCAGCCTAGGCCCCCGAGAGTGCCCGCATTGTTGGCAGCGTAGCTGAGGTAGAAATCGTCGTGAGTTGCCTGGTGAAGCCACAGGGCTGCCCACAGCAGCTCGTCCTGCATTTGATGCATTGCTGTATCAAGTGGATCTTTGATGATAAGGGACGCTCACCGCATAGCCACTCTTGGAGTTGTAAAACTTTTGAGCCACCGAAATGCTGGCGTCGTACTTGCCGCGGCGTGTGTCGGCAAACTGGAAGAGCTGCACGACGCAAAAGCAAAGAAGATAGTAAGTATGCTACTTAGCTGTCATGGAAAAAAGAAAGCTCGTCTCTTCTTTACACTTGCCTGCTTGGAGTGAGCCAGGAGATTGTTTGCGTATGCTGCATTGTGCCTTCTAAAGACAATGGAAGCGGCAGCGAGAGCGGCGGCAGTTTCGCCCGCCAAATCCGACCCTGGGTTGCTCGCATCGATCTTGTAAGCTTTCCGGGGCGTTGTCATGTCCTCGGGCCTTTGCCAGCAGAAGTGATCCGTGAATCCATCACCCACCTTAGTGAAAGGAAGTTGTGAGATACACAAGTAGAGCATGGTTAACTTTTTTTACCTCGCCCCAGAGCACATTGGGCTGTGGGTGTGCCTTGACGAGGTAGTCGGCCCCCCATTTGATGGCGTCGAGGGTGTAGCCGAGCTGACCACTCGACTGGAGCTGCTTGTGGAACTCGATGGCGCTCCACGACATCATGGTGATGGTGAAGGCCATGGGCAGACCAAACTTGACATTGTCGCCCGCGTCGTAATACCCTCCAACCAAATCCACCTGGTAGTTCCAGCGCCACCATCAATCACCACAACGCAAAGTACTCAATTCGCAAAGGCACATCCGAAAGGGAAAGATATCCTAGAATGCAGCTATCTACACGCGAAAGTGCTCAAGCAAGCCAAGAAGCAACAACTAAGCTACAGTCGCTAGCTGCTGTTGGCACCACCACAACAACGACATCTCAGCCGACATATATATCCACACAAGACTGGAAGATCTAGCATCCTATCATGAGCTAACGACAACTATATAGATCAATCTCTCGACACCAGCATACCACATTCTCGCGCACTGCTTACCCCCTGAGATTTGCCATCCAAGAGTGCTGAATCGGAGCGCCAGGCCGCCCTCTGGTCCGTGGGGAGCCGCCCAGATCTCTGCGCCTCGTAAAACAGGATGCTCTTGCTCAGCGCATCCTTGTAATCAAAGGCCGACTGCCCGGCGCTGGCCAGGAGCAGCACGGCCCACCCCAGCACCCACATTCTGCCCGATCTTGCTGCTGCTGCTGCCATCTTTGTGCTGGAGTGGAGGCTCTTCCTCCTCGGCCCTGGTACTGCGACCTCCACTCAATCGATAAGTTACAACTCACAGCAGCAGTAGAAGGAGCATTCTAAGGAAAAGAGCGATGCGAGATGTGGAAGCGCCTCTATGTTTAGCATGAGAGAGCTGCTGCTGGCTGGGTTTGCTGTGTTTCCTTGTTCTGTCTTGAATGCCCAAGCGAGAATGGGGGGCGAAGCGAGCTCGAACTCGTCAGCTCCAGACCATGGCAGCAGCAGCAGCAGCAGTAGCAGCAGCGGCGGCCAGGCAAAACAACAAAAGAAATGGAAAGCGACGCACACTCCTTCCTCTCTCTCTCGCGATGGAGTGTGTGTGTGTGTGGAGTGGCCTCCCTTTAAAAGCTTTAACAGTTAGTTATCCCACAATCAAGTTATTCGCCCTAACTTGGATGCTGACTTAAGCCCTAAATCGGCCGGCGGTTACCTCTCGGCGGCTTTGAATGCGGGCGGCATATACCCCGGTTCCCATCCGACGGCCCACATTCGCCCATCCCAGCTCACTGGTATACAGTCTTCAGACAATGCAGATTTATAAGAGTTGTTGCAAGTTGCAGGGAAGAATCGGATCAATCCCTTCGCTTTTGCTGCCTTAGCGTTTTTCCCAACCAGATCTTTCGAGCCGACTGACCTATGTCACCGATTGCCGCCGCGTGTCGCGATCGGGACGCCAGGGATATTCCTCCCCGCGCTTAAATATGCGCTCTTTTGGCAAGAAGCCCTTCTTCAAGTTCTTCTGACATAAGCCAGCAGCAATGGGTAAGAAAGACGCGGCAAAGGGCCACCACCATCACGGTCACGGTCATGGTCATGGCGGCTATCCCACCGGCTATCCTCCACAAGGTAGTAAGATCTCTCGAGTTTAGCTGGAGATTTTCCCCCTCTCAAATCCTTTTCTTGGCACCGGGCAGGCTATTATCCACAGCAGCAGTACTACGGTCCGCCAAGGAGGCATGGAGGCGGTGGATTCCTCCGAGGCTGGTAAGTAAAAGCTCAAGCTTCTATTTCTTCCATTTTGCGGATCTCAGGAGTTTACTTTCATCAGCTTGGCTGCCCTGTGTTGCTGCTGCCTGGTGGACGAGTGCTTCTAAGATCCATCGTTCCTAGTCATAGATTAAGAAAAAAAAATGTCGTTTATACGAGCGACTCCACACCCGTGTAATGTACATAATCATCCATGAACATCAAACCGGCCTATTGAAGCTATGATCCCACCTTTTTGACGCGCAGCGCGCGCTTTCTCTTGCTTTAATAGACAATGCGAATCGCATCTTTTTGCTTTAATCGCCCAAGTCAAGCACCCCATTTGTCCCCACCAGTGCCGTCCTTCCACGTAAACCGCCACAAGTCATCCGAAAGAGCATCGCTTTTTAAGCTCCCGTTGGAGAGTTTCTTAGTGCAAAGCGAAGAAACGATGGGGAAAGACTACGAGACTCCATATCCACCGCAAGGTTATCCTCCTCAAGGTACTCTCCAAAATTTCCACTTTGGGTCATCAAGGTCTCCTCCGCTGTGCAGGCTATTACCAGCAGCCTCCTCCTGTTGCTCCTCCTCCACAGTACTACTCTCAAGCACCGCCTCGGAGAAGCGGTGGATTCCTCCAAGGATGGTAAATCTCTTTCCAGTAGTCTACAGATCGCTTACATTGTGATTTGCAGTCTCGCAGCACTGTGCTGCTGTTGCCTGTTGGATGAATGCTGCTGTGATCCCACCATTCTTATCGACTGCTGAAGCAGTGCCTTCTCGTTGAATTCGCACCTGTTCTTATAATACAAGCCAAAGATTAAGGTATCTCATCGTGTGATCATCGTGTGTGTGCGTCTGAGAGTAGCACATAGGCCGCTCCCTCGTTAGGATCCATGCCAAGAACATTTGTGGCGGCAATGGCTCCCTGCCTGGTGTTCTTGTGGTTCCTACACGCCGCGAGCAGGCACTTCCAGTCGAGAACATCGGGTGCGAAGGGCATGCTTGCAAGCAGTTCTCTGGCAGCATCCAAATGCCCCGCTCTCCCAAGCACGTCCAGCACGCAGCTGAAGTGCTGCTTCACCGGGCGCACTCCATAGTCTGTAGGCATCGATACCAGGCAGCTGCGGCAATCTCGCAAGTCGCCAGTGTGGCTGAGAGCTGCCAGCGCCGACACGAAGCAAGCCTCGTCCGGAACCTCGCTAGCTTTCATCTCCTCGAAGATCGCCACCACCGACGTGAAGTCGCCGCAATCCGCGTGAGCCGCCAGTACTGCACTCCACGACACTGTGCTCCGCTCCGGCATGGTGGCGAAGAGCTTGCGTAGCTCTACGAGACGCCCGCAGGCGGCCAACCCGGTGAGCATAGCATTCCAGGACACAACGTCCCGCTGCGGCATAGCGTCAAAGCAACACTTGGCATCTTCAAGCTGCCCGTTGTGCGCATAAGCAGTAAGCATAGCTGTGTCGGCGACGACGTCACTATACGGGATGCTGGCGTGGATCAGCTTTGCCTCCTCCAGGTACCCGGTGTGGGCATACGAGCACAGCAGGCAATTCCAAGACGTCACGTCCCTCTCGGGCATCTCGTCAAACGTGCGCTTGGCACTCTCCAGGTGCTCTTTCCCTTTGATGGAGTATGCCGACAGCAGCGCGTTCCACGATACGAGATTCCGCTGCTGCATCGCATCAAACACCTCCTTGGCCTTTCGGGCATCTTGCTCCCCAGCCGCCGCTAACATCGTATTCCACCACCCGATGTCCTTGCTCTGATTGTCATGCTCGTGTGGGAGCTCAAAGGTGTGCCGCGAGGAGGACTGGAGATGGAGGTGGAGGTGGAGGATAAGATTCCATGACACACTATTCCATCTCGACATGCTGTCGAATGTCTTCTTGGCGTTTTCAGCGTCACCGGCTTGCACATACGATGTCAGCAACGAGTTCCACGACACAATGTCCCGCTGCGGCATGGAGTCAAACAGCCCCTTGGCATGCCCAGTGTGGGCGTATGCGGCTAGTAAGACGTTCCACGCCACCACATTCCGCTCCGGCGTCGCGTCGAACACCCGCTTCGCAGATTCTACATCACCGACGCGGGCGTACCCGGCAGCCATGCTCGCCCAGGACACCTGATTTCTCTTTGGCATCGCAGAGAAGACGAGCTCGGCATCTCGCAGCTCGCCAGCGTGAACGTAGCCACCAAGCAACGCGTTGTAGGAGATGACGTCCCGTTCAGGCATGGAGTCAAAGGCGGACTTGGCCTCAAGAAGATGGCCCCTGGAAGCCAAGGCCGAGATCATGGCATTGTGAGACACGAGATCGTGCTGTGGCATGGCAGCAAAGCTCTGTCGGGCACTTTCCAGCTGCGGATCATTCAGCTGTGCATAGCCGGACAGCATCGCGTTCCAAGAGACCAGATCGTGCTGCTCCATCTCCTGGTGAAACAAGAGCTTCGCTCTGTCCATGAGGCCATGTCTCGTGTACAATGCCAGCATCGAATTCCAAGAGACAAGATCTCGCAGTGGAATCTCAGTGGCAAACATTTTCTCCGCTCCATCGACGTCGCCATCGTGTGCTGAAGCCGTGAGCATGGCGTTCCATGATATCAAGCTCCTCGCAGGCATGGTTAGAAAGAGCTCCTGTGCTTCCTCCAAAAGCCCGAGTTGGGCATATGCAGCTAGCATGGCATTCCAAGACACAAGATCTTTTGCAGGCATCTGGTCAAAACACTGTCGCGTTTTACTTATGTTCCCCATTTTCGTATGAGCTGTGAGGAAAGAATTCCACGAGATTATGTTGTGGCGGGGCATAGCGTCCATAAGCTTGCGCGCTTCACAAAGATCTCCGCTTTGGGCATATGCAGAGAGCATGGTGTTCCAGGAGATCAGATTTTTAGCATGCATGCGTGAAAACAATCTCCTTGCATCATCGTAGTCTCCGGCTAGAGCCAGCGCAGCCAGCATTGCATTCCATGAGATAAGATCCCATTCGGGCATACTAGCAAAGACCTGCTTGGCAAGATGCAGTTCTCCAGCTTGGGAATACGCGGTGAGCATCACATTTCCAGACGCCACGTCCCGGTCGTTCATGGAATCAAACATCCTCCTGGCTTGCTGGAGGCGTCCAGCTTGGGTGTAGGCAGCCAGCATCGTGTTCTTACACACCACATCCTTAAACTGGACAGGCATCCTTGCAAAAACGCTCTCCGCTTTGACAAGATGCCCGCTTCGGGAGAATGCCGTGAGCATCGCAGTCCACGACACCAGATTTCTCCCTTCCATCGAGTTGAACAGGCGCTCCATCTCTTGCAGTCGCCCATTGCCGGCATACGCAGCCAAGAGCGCATTGCTGGCGGCGTGGTGGTGGCCACGATCACCGGGGATGGCATCGAACACCTTGCGAGCTTCCTCTACGCTCCCGCATCGGCCATACATGGCGATGAGCCGAGAGGAGAGCTGGCAATCCTGATCATCGCGTAGCATCCCGGATCGACCGAGCTGGGCGTGGATCCGGCGGGCCGCGGTCAGTTGCGTGCACGAGTGGATGAGAGCAATACATTCCGACCGCGACGGAGGCGGTGGCGACGCTACTGCTGCTGATGCTGCTGTGTGGAAGGCGGCATCACGCTGTGTCATGCCTTGGCCAGCGCCATAGCTGATCGATCACTCGATGAAAAGAAAAACGAGTAAAAGTGGCAAGTCAAACATCGGTAGATGGAGGAAGGTCCATCGAAGAGCACTATTTGTGGCTCTAGCCTAGCCCATGATTCCCCTCCTCATTCTCATCTTGTGGGCGATCGCGGGCGACGCTGATCCAGCAATTGCGCCACTGGGGATCCGCCGACATATCTCGAGCTTGCTCGGGGGCAGTAGCAGTGGTCGCCCTAGCAGCGGTGGTAGCAACAGCATGGTCATGGATGTGTTCTACGTCTCTCACGGCTCGCCCATGCTGCCGTTCGAGGAGATCCCCGCCAGGGATTTCTTCAAGGGCATGGCCAAGCTGGTGAAGCACAAGCCCAAGGCGATTCTCATGGTGTCCGGCCACTGGGAGACCCGGGATCCGATGGTGAGCACCACAGCGCGCAACCCTACCATTCACGACTTCTACGGCTTCCCTCGCGAGCTCTACGAGGTGAGATCTCTTCGCCCAGTAGGAAAAGAAGTCTCACCAGAGGGACGATTGTGGCACAGCTCAAGTACGAGGCACCCGGTGCTCCCGACGTAGCAAGGCGAGCCAAGCAGCTCCTCCAGGACGCTGGATTCAAGCAAGCCGGCGAGGATCCCAAGCGAGGCCTGGATCACGGTGCATGGGTTCCACTGTGGCTGGCCTTCCCCGACGCCGACATTCCAGTCTTCCAGCTCTCGCTCCAGTCGCACAAGGACGCCGCCTATCACTACCGGCTGGGCCGCGCGTTAACTCCGCTCACCCGCGAGGGCGTTCTTATCATCGGATCCGGGACTACCACGCACAACCTCCGGCACATGCTGCCCACCGTCCCGGACTGGGGGAAGGCCTTCGACGACTGGCTCTACGACTGCTTGATCCACCAGAGGTACGCGCACAAAAGCAAAGTTGGCTAGCAATGAATGAAGAACTGATGCTCTTTCTCACAGATATGACGAAGTCACGCAGTTCATGGACAAGGCGCCGTATGCCAAGCTCAACCATCCAACACCCGACCATTTCCTTCCATTGTTGGTGGCATTAGGAGCCGCTGGAGAGGGCGCTACGGCTCAAGCAATCCACAGGAGCTGGCATGGAAGCTTCTCCATGGCTAGCTATGTCTTCAAGCCTGCTGTTGGAGCTCCTGGGCCACAACAACAACAACAAGAGCTATGACTGCTGGTACACAGTTGGGTGTGAGAAAGAATAAACTCTCTTGACAGGGCGTTGGGCATTTCTCACCCCCGCAGCTTTTCAGCGCTACTAGACAGTGAAGAAATGCGAGCTCTTTGTTTGTCAAGGAATCGCGTGTTTGTCTATCCTTCCATGAGACCTCTCAAGGTGACGGGGCTGCTAACCGGGGCAGCAGCCTCGGCCGGGATGGCCAGAGACTGCACCAGCAAGTCCGACACGTCCCGCATGGAGGGCCGGCTTGAAGACTCCCTCTGCGTGCACAACCGCGCCAGCTCGCAAACCGAGTAGAGCTCCATGGGGCACACGTTGCTCATCGACTTGTCCACCAGATCCATCATCCTGTCCCGGCTTTGTAGGAACTGCTGCGCCTGTTCAGCACCACAAACAACATGAGCTCTTTCTTGCACAAGAGTGTGAGAGAGATTGCGTACCCATTCCACAAGCATGCCGGTCTCCTCGGAGAAGGCCTGCTTTCCCGATAGAACCTCGAGCAGCAGCACACCAAAGGAGAACACATCCCCGGCTCGGCTGTACACTCCCCGGTGCACTATCTCCGGGTCCACGTAGCCACCCGTCTTGCGAACCAGTGCCAGCTCCGAGCTCCCAGCAATAGGCACCCTCCCCAGCCCTGTGATCTGCTCAGCTTTCCAAGGCATTCTCAATTTTCTCAGAAACTAAAGAAAGGAAAGAGTTCCCTCATACACCATAGCCCATACCTTTGCGGCAAAGTCTTCAGTGAGGAGTATGTTGCGAGACCTCAAGTCACCGTGTATGACTGGAGGGTTGCATAGGTGGTGGAGGTATGCCAAGCCGTATGCAGCACCTACGATAATGCGCATTCTTTGCTTCCACGAGAGGTTCTCGTCTCCTGAAACCAGGGACTCGGGGGGTCAGTTCTTCCCCCGAGACTAACGTACGTACTTATCGAGTTGCCATACCCGTATGCAGGTTCTCAAATAGCGTACCATTGGGAGCGTATTGGAAGAGGAGCATCCTGTAGGACACAGTTTTCAGAAAAACGAGCTACAGTTTCCATGCCTACCTCTCTTGTTTCTCGTCGCAGATGCCCACGAGGTTTGCCAAATGCTGGTGGTGAACGCGTGAGAGAAGCTCCATCTGGAAGCAGCAGCCGATTTATTGGGCATCTGCGCGGCCGCGGCTGCAAGAGAAGGGAAGACGCTCGTACCTGGAACCGGAAGCTGGCTTCCACATCCGAGCACTCGGAAACATCTTGCTTGAGTTTCTTGACAGCCACCTCCATTCCATCCGAGAGAATTCCCTTGTAAACCCGGTTGGTGCTCCCCTGCCCGATGAGGTTACTAAACCCCTCGCTCAGTAGCTCCACTTCCTGGAGCGTGAAGCTCAGAACGTGTCCTCTAACAGCGCCCTTGACCAGGCTCTCCTTCCCCTTGGTGCCGCCGCCGGAAGCGACGGGAAGGACGTGGTGCTTGCCGGCCTTGAGCCTCCGGTGGATCATGATGAGCAGCTGGAAGATGGACACGACGAACACTGCCGCGGAGATGACAGACGCTGCTCCAACAATCCCAAATATCCATGTTGCCATAGCTAGCTCTCGAGCATCCCAGATCTACGTCTCACCTCTCCACATTCCCTGTCTTTTCAAAGCAGATGACCATTGCAGATTCTCGAGAAAGAGTGACGTCTCCGCGAGCCTGCATTGCCTTCGCCCCTGTTCGTCACCACGAAAAACATTTAATCTTTTGAGCCATCGTCCATTCCAAAGATCACTGACCTGGCCGATGCGAGAGCAGCAGCAGCAGCAGCAGCACTGGACAGCACTACTGGTGCGATATTCCGATCATGAGAGTTATGGATCATGGACCACCAAACTCCCCAGAGGCGAGGCAGTAGTGAGGAGCATCCATCAGTCCCTCTCACTTTGCCTCGCCTTTCTCCACTGTGTGCCTGCCACTTCCCTTGTTTGCTTTGATTAGAGTATTCGCTAAGGAGACTACCTTGAGAAAAAAATTCCAGGAGACAGCTTCGCTCCATGTGTCCGTCACTCTGGATGACGATGACCCACACCAACGTATAATTTATGAAGTGAGTTGCGCCCTTTCTCTTTCTCTTTCTCTTTGGAGATTTAACTCCATGTCCATGCTTTGCTTCACTTTTGTTCCAAAAGGAGAAGGGAAATGGCTGTATTGTCTGCTTGTCCGTGTCGTCATCGGCATTCATCCATAGGTGTACGTAGCCACCTTGTCTATTCCAACTTTTGCCAATGTACCACCTTTGCCTTTTTCCTGCCTCGAAACTTTATTTCCTGTCAAGCCAGCCTCAGAAGAAAAGGATTGAAAACAGGAGAAACGAACGCACCGAGGGACGACGATCTAGTAGCTGGTTAGTTGGAGCAAGCCCGTGCTTTGCTTTGTAGGTGGAGCACGCATAAGTTGCATGGAGCCTGGCTTTTAAGCAGTAGCCAAGTGAGATAATCGCGCCTCTGGGATGCCATGAACAGCAGGAAAGTAATCTGGTACTCCTACGTGCTCTGGAGCAGCCTGCTCGGCGACAGCCAAGCACAAGGTGCGTAGCATTTTCCTCCGTTTCCTGGTGTTTGCTTGGTGGAGCCTTAACTTCATCCAAAGTTATGGCAGTAGCTCCTCCACAGTTTGGAGTGAACTATGGCCGCGTCGCCAGCAACCTTCCCAGGCCAGCCGATGTTGCCAACCTGGTGGCCGGGGAAGGGATCAGCAGGGTGAGGATTCTGGACATAGAGCCAGCGGTTCTTCGGGCATTTGCACGCTTTGGATCCCCGGTGAGAATGTCCGTCACCCTGCCCACCGAAATGATCTTCGACGTGGCCATGAGCGAGAGCTGCGCGCGTGCGTGGTTCTACCAGCACATCTTCCCTTACAGAGCCCAGATCGAGACCATCCTCGTCGGCAACGAGATCCTCACGCTGCACCAAGAGATGGCCAGGCTCCTGGTCCCGGCCATGGAAAACTTGCACCGCGTGTTGGTCAGCGTCGGGATGAGCCGAGCCATCCGGGTTTCCACAGCTCACGCCATGGACATCCTGGACAGCACCGATCCTCCTTCCAGCGGATCGTTTGGGAGCAAGTACCGCGAGACCCTGCGAAGAATGCTCTACTTTCTGCTCGTCACAAACTCCTCCTTCACTGTCAACGTCTACCCATACTACGTCTACCAGCAGGACAAAGGCCGCACTGTCTCTCTCGACTACGCGCTTGGAAACGTGAGCGCCGACGCCATGATGGATCCACACACTGGCCTCAACTACACCAGCCTGCTCAAAGCTCAGCTGGACGCCGTCTACTCGGCCATGACCAAGCTGGGCTACGGCGGGGTGCGACTCGTGGTGTCCGAGACGGGCTGGCCGTCGAGCGGAGGATTTGGGGCCAGCAAGAAGAAATCCTGTCACTTCTTCTGCAACCTCCTTCAGGAGGTTTCTAGCGGAGCTGGGACGCCCTTGAGACCACACCACCCTATTCAGGCTTACCACTTTGCGCTCTTCAACGAGAACCTCAAGCGCGGCGCCGTGGAGCAAAACTTTGGTATCTTCTACCCCAACATGACCAGGGTTTACCCATGCATTTGCTCCGAGGGAGTTGACTAAATGACCATGCAGTCTACCATGGTCAAACGCACACTGATGACTAAGCGTGGAAATGAAAAAGCCTGTGCCCTGCGCGTGTGTGTGCGCTTGCAATGGATGTAGGATCAGCCACAAGGCATGGCCTTCCTAACAGCTCGCTCGTACACAGAGAAAACTCTTAAAGTCAGCGGCATGAGGAGAGCCAAGAGAAAACTCGCCACAAACTTGTAAGCATGACGGCTGTGCTGGCATCTTTGGCCGCAGTGGTGGTAGTATCGCTGCTGCTGATGAATGCCGGTGGACAACAGCGTCCGGAGCCAAATTGCGCGACGGGGCGGACGGCGACGATTCTGAGCTACTGCCTGCCCACTGTTCTCCACGAGAGCCCGCCAAATAGCACCGTCTCACGCCTCTGTTGCAACACTCTGGCTACTTACACCTGGGACTGCCTGTGCGCCCTTGGCCCGCACCAGTTTAGATGGTTCCTCGTCTTCATGGAGGACGTCACCACCTTGTGTGGAGCCCCAGTTATCGGCTGCAAGTAAGTACTATACTAGCTCCAGATTCTAGTTTAGTGTGATGCTTCATATTGTATTGGTTGTTTTTCTCAGTTTCTCCACACGCAAGAAAATCACAGGCAACGAGAGTACACAACACGAATGATCCGCTCAAAGTAACGCTAGTGCTCTCTAGAATCAAAATAATTTTCGGAATGAGAAGTTAGTGCTTGAATCAGAAAGTGATATCGTAGACCTTGGACATGTCCGGCCTAAACACCCCAAAGTTCTGCTCCGTCACGCCGGGCTTCTGGTTCTCGTTGAAGAGAGAGAAGATGTAAGCCTGCACGGGAGTGTTGGGCTTGAGAGGAGTGCCAGCGTTTGCAGCAACACGCTGGATCAAGTTCCTGTTAAAAGTGGCAGCATTGTCGAGCGAGGCACCAAAGTCACCCGCAGACGGCCAGCCGCTCTCGCTCAGCACGATGCCAACGTCGTCGTGGTTGAGCTTCCGCATGGCCGAGTAGACCGTGTCGAGCTGAGCGTCCAACAAGTTGGAGTAGTGCAAGCCCGAGTTGGAGTCATCGAAACCCGCGGCTCCCGGCTGGAGCAGAGAGTAGTCGAGCGCAAGGTTCTGTCCCTTGTCATCCCTGTAGGCGAAGTATGGATAGGCGTTGACAAGGAGGTAGGAGCCTGTGCGTGCCAAGAAGTCGAGCACCGGTTGCATGACACTGCCTCCGATGTCACTCCGAAACATGCCAGCCGACGGAGGGAACGCCGCATTAGCATCCAGAATGTCCATGGCGTGAGCCGTGGACACTTTGACTCTGGAAGCCACTCCCATGTTGACGAGCGACGTGTAGATGTTGTTCATGGCCGGGACGAGCTGCGGGTTGAGTTCCGGGTTGTATTTGATCACCTCGTTCCCAACAATGACGACCGAGACGATGGACCCGTACGGCATGACGTTCCCGGCGATCCATCCGTCGGCAGCGGCTTGAGACGAGGCAACCCCGGCAATCTCACCGTTGCCAAGAGTTATAGCCACCGGAATGCCTTGGCGCGCGAAGGCTTGGATGGCAGCGGGATCGGCATCAAATATCCGAACCATGCCAATGTTTTGGGACTTGACCAGCTGAGCAACTGCGTCTGGAGCTGGAAGGTTGTCGGCGATTCTGCCATAATTGACACCGATCGCTTGTGTCCCTGCAAACACGGAAGAAACATTTGGTATGCCAGGCAGTACGTAAAAGAGAAATCTAAAATCTATCCTGTCACACACACCTGCGATCTTGCAGCAAAGAATAAACGCGGCCAGCACAAGCTCCATACTGACAGACGGTGCCATCTCCCCCAAAAATCAAGGCTTGCAACTCGAGCGAAAACATCGTGACTCACACGTCTACTTGTCATCGTCAAAAAGCGTGTCGGTGGACCCGGACAAGTTGGTAGCGGCCACAAATCTCTTTTGGACAGCCAGTGGCTGAAATGCCACGCACTGAATAAGTGCTCCACCGGCATCCTTGAAACTATGATATCAGCCCTGTGCATCCGTATAGAATGGATTCTCACTCATCTTGGGCATAGATCTAAAGACTAGATATGGTCTGGCTACCTGGGCAGCAAGCAAGCATCACACCGTTAGACAGACCAAAGCTCGTAAGTACCTTGAGTGCGGGGGGACCGCACAAGAACTTTTTAGAAAGAGCTGGAGTACGTAGAAGACTGGAGCTACCAGTGCAAACTGGAGCTCCCCAAGCGAAGCAACGGGTGCGAGAAATACGCCCCCAAAGTCAGTGCTGTGATGATCAAGTAAGGTAGCCTCAGGAATTCCTTGTAGAAATCCCGTGGCAGCTTCTGTCGGCCTTGAGCTATAGCCACGAAGGGCACTACACTCGTTCTCTGCCTCACGGCCTCGAAGGCGTCGCCGTAGCGAAGGGAAAGTCGTCTGTCACCGTTCCACACTCCGAAAAGGTGGTGAGCGAGAAGCCCGATGGACGTGGTCAGCGTGAAGGAGCTGCCGATCCATAGCGTGTGAGCAAAACACCACATGAACTGTCCAACCATCTGCGGGTCGAGCAGAGGAAAGGATTCATTTACAACACTGGAATGAATTCGAGCTTGGACTGTGTAGCATACCTGGGGATGCCGGGTGATTCTCATGATCCCAGTCTCCCACATATGAAGCTTGGGCTTGTCGACAGCAGCAACTTCGAGCAGATTAAACGTGGACGGATAGAGGAAGAAGAATGACGTAAACGAGAGAAGCCACACCAGCTGATGGACTCCAGGAACGTCTTGGACGTGCCATAGCTGCGCACCTTCGTATCTATGGTTGATAAAATACACCTGCGCGAACAAGTGGAGCGTAAATAAGCGCACGACTGGAAGATGTTTCGTGCTTGGTGACTGACCACGGCAGAAACTGCCAGCGGAAGCGACAGTCCAGCAAAAACAACTCGGTACGCCCTCTCGCCGATGAGCTGCTCGCCTCGGTCGCGAAAACTGGCCAGGCCACTGTGGACCAGAGCGAAAATGGCGAGCATAGCGGTGATCACGAGCTGCAAAGACACTTATCTCATGAAGAAAGAAACAAGAAAAATAGAAGAAAGATGTACCTCGGGAGAATTGTTGGTGAGCGTGGAGAGCCAGTCGACGTAAGCGGTTCCATAGCCCGTGCTTGGATCGAGCCACGCGAAGTAGAGAACCACGGTGACGGCGGCAAGAATGGCTGTAAAGTAGAGCCAGGACGAAAGCTTCTGGCTCTGGAGCTCAAACACCGCAGAGTCTTCACCCACGAGCGGAGGAGGACTTTGGTCATCGGCGCTCGCGGACGGTAGCACCTCGGACTCGTTGGAGACGCGAGCAAAGACAAGAACTCGTCCAAGCCCATGGTAGCGTCGTGATATGGATGTTGGTGCTCCACCAATGCCAAAGCCACGAGCACCACCTCCTAGGTTATTTACCTTTGTGATGCGCTGTTGGGCGATGGACGGGCGAGCTACAAGGGCGCAGCGCAGGCACTGCGCAGCCACGGCCATGGCCTCCTCGCTCCTCCTTGCTTAGCCTCTGTTTAGCTCATTATTCCACTCACCACATTTTCTGGTGATAACATTCCAGCGCAAGAGATTCCTGGCGAATCGGACGAACGCGCCGCGAAGGGTAAAATAGTCGCCGTAAAAACTCTCAATGTTGACGTGGTAATTTCTCCCAGCCATCATCCCGAGAATTACGGGAACATCCCTTCTATCCAGGACAGGTATCTTCTATCATCTCCTTAATGAGCAAAGTATGAGCTAAGTAACGCGGCATTGGCCGCGACCCTACAGCAACGTGCAGCCTGTTTGACTAGCCTCCTAGGCTTTTTAGATTCGATCCCAAGTTTCTGGACTACTCATCACTCTCTCCATCGCATTGATCCCAAGTTTCCGGAGCTCTACTCATCATTCTCTCCATCGCATCGATCATTCCATTCCACTCCATAGCTTGGGTCGATGATGGTGATCGAGCACATAGATCTGGTGGCCGATGCGCTCAAGCTCGCCTATCGCATCGTGAGGAACTACCAGGATGTCCCCAAGCAGAGAGGTAAATGCCGGGAGCTGATTGACCAGGTCTGTAGGCTGGCTGGCCTCCTCCAGGAGCTCCAAAACTCGCGAACGCCGCAAGCGCCACTCACCCCTCAGGCCAAGGCATGCTTCGAGGGCCTCAACAAATGCCTCGAGGACGCCTACAGGTATCTTTCTTCCATCCGCACTCAAAAATCGCAAGCTCGAGTGGCTTGGCAGGGTTTTGGAGAAGACATCGAGGGCCAGCATTCTCCGCTACATTTTCATGAGCAAGGAGGTTGACGAAGATTTGAGCGTCGTGTCCGGCAGTATAGATGGCTTCCTCAAGTCCGTCCCGCTGGTGTGCTTGACGGTGACTGTAAGAATACTAAGAACTGTGTGTTTGCAGATCCAATTCACGCAAGCAACGGCAATCCAAGCCGACGTGAAGGAGCTGGCGAGCGCATTCTCCAAGCTGAGCACGGAGCTCCAGCATAAGAGCGCGTACACGCAAGAGCAGCAAGACCTTGCGGACGAGGTATGTTTTCCTGCCATGTAGCGAGCGAGAGTGTTCGAGCTTTGGTTGCAGGTGTTGTCGATATTGCGGAGCAGGACTGAAGATGAACAAGAGAGCACCTTGGACAAGCTTCTAGCGTGGCTCGCGGAGAAATTCGAGTCGGACATGGAGACCGTGCGCAGGGAATGGCAGGTAAAGTACTCTCTTGCCGATCGAAAAGTTTGCCAAATGAAAAGTCTCGTTTCAGGACATGAAGCGATCGAAGAGCGATTTGATGACACAAGTCGGCACGACTTCTTCTTCCAAGCAAAGGATTGAAGAAAAGCTCTTGGAGCAGATCATCTTCTGCATCGACGAGCTCGAAGTTAATGGCAAAGTCTTGGAGGTGGACGCGGCTGGCATCCCAGGAGAGTTTCTTTGCTCCGTCTGTCACGACTTGATGAAGCGACCGGTCCTCCTCACGTCCGGCCACTCCTACTGTAGGCACTGCATCGAGCGGTGCTTTGGCAACGGTCCTGCCGTCTGTCCAAACTCGAGAGCTCTTGTGCAACCCGACTTGCTCATCGACAACATTGCCTTGCGAAATGCCATCGCCAGGTTCGTGTCTCGCGTTATCTGACTTCATCTTAAAAACCACCCATGCATGTCTTTCTAGGTGGAAGCAAACAGCTTCTCCTGCGCACGCCGAGGATGTTGACGAACCAGTTGTGGACGTGGTGGAGAGAAGCTACGACGAGGGCTTCGTTCTCCAGACGGTCTCGGAGCTCGAGTCCGACAACCATATCAAGCAGCTCAGGGCGCTCAACTGCCTGCTCGAAGTCGCGTCATCCACAAGTGGAGCAGCATCAATCCTCAAGTCCGGAGGCACAGCACAGCTTGTAAAGCTGCTCAAGTCATCCAGGAGAATGGTGGTGGAGAAAACCGCAGCTATTCTTGCGCTCATGACTTCCAGACAAGCTACTGCCGATGATACAGGACAGGTTGTGAGCGAGATCTTTGAGCACTGCTTGGATCTGGTCACCACAGGAACGGGGACGGTTCGACTGAAATCCGCCGAGACCATCACCAACTTGCTATCGATTCCCGAGGCGACGGAGTTCCTCCTCTCTCAGGTGGGAATTATTTCATCCTTCGCGGCACTGGCTACCGAGTCTGAAGATGGCATGGACATTTCCCTTCGATGCCTCCGGAAGCTATCGAGAAACAAGGACGCAAGTTTTAGCGGTGACTCCTCTTTGGTAGCATGTCTCCTCGATCTTCTCAAGTCGGAGGAAGATTGCATCGTTCAAGAGTCGGTTCTGGCACTCAAGTCCGCAGTGTCTTCCGGATCGTCTCGAGCTTGCGCGGTTTTGAAGAAGAAGAATGCTGTATCTCACCTGGTTCGCTGCGCAGCTTCATTATCCGGGGACTCTCAGGAAGCCGCAATCACAGTACTGGAGCACTTTGCCAAGAACGAAGGCTTCAGTGACTTGGTCGAAGCGGGATACCACAGATTCATCGTGCAGCTGGTTTCGGCATTTCATCCCTCGGACAACGCGCGTCTGCTCGCGAGCATACTCCGTCTGTCGACCGGCTGTCTAGACTTGCAGCAGGACTGGAGTTTCGAACTTGGTGACGTGCAAAGGCTGACGTCTCGCCTCATGGATACGCTCCAAGTCAAGGACTGCACGGCCGAGGCGCTCGAGCTCCTCAAAACGCTGTGTTCCAAGGATCCCGCATGCAAGGAGCTTGTGGTCGAAAACGATGGCGTCACAGTTCTGCTGGTGCTTGCAGTCTCGCCACGCTCAACGTGCAGGAAGGGAGCTCTTGCTGTGCTCACAACTCTCCTACGCTCGAGTGCATGCCAGGAGGAGTTTTCCAGAGCTGGAGGGATTGGAGTGCTTGGCAACACCATACAGACAGATGACAGTGCCGAGTGCGTCACGGAGGCTATGATATCGCTGGGACTCTTGGCAGGCAACGGCAAGCTGAGGCATCTGGCACTTAAGAGCTTGGATCTTTACAAGCTCCTGTGCTGTTGCATCGACGAGAACTTCCCCGAGCAGTGCAGAGAATCAGCCGCGTCTCTTGCGCTGTGGTCACTGACCGAGAGGAGCGATGTCATAGTGTCGAAGCCAAGCCTCAAGCAGCTTGGCTACGTGCTACAGCATGGCCGCAGCAAAACCATCAGAACGAAGGTGGCGGAGATATTGCTGGTGCACGCTAGCAGAGGAGGAGAGGAGGGACTGGCAAGCCTGGGCGGATCGAGCCGGCTCCATCTCGTAGAGCTGGCGGATGAAGCAGGAGAAACATACAGAGAGCTGCTACTCTCCTTTGTGAGCCGCAGCAGACCATGTACGCAGGAGGAGATCCCGCTCCTCCTTGAAGCGTTCTCGAGGAGCGAGTACATGGACGACGCGGTAGCATCGATCAGAATGCTGGTGGAGAGCAGCACCTCGTCTCACTCGGTGCTTTTGGCAGCTGGTTTCGGACACACCGGCTTGGAAGCTCTCAAGTCTGGCCGCTGCGGGGAGCCATGCATTGACGATATCTCTGCGTCGCTGGTTCTTCTTTATTCCTGCTGCAGCCAGCAGCAGTGCGAAGCGTCGCCGAAATACGTCCAAGGGCTGATGAAGCTCCTGACGATGGATGCCCCAGGCAGCGTGACAAGAGCAGCAGTGTGCTTACTCTCCTCTTTCGCCCACCCCGACAGTGCATGCCTCCAGGGTCCGCTGAAAACTTCTTCGCACGCGATCAAGCCGCTCTTGTCCGTGCTGCCACAGGCGAGGCTTGAGGCTCTGGAGTTGCTCTCCATCGCCGTGGAGGATTCTTCCCTGAAGGTAGAGCTTTACAGGCAAGGTGCCATTCCAAAGCTGATAGAGTGCCTTTCTCCGGACAACGATCGGGTACAGGTACGCTGCCTGTTCGGCAGAACATATGCTGACACTGACTTTATCTTTGCAGGAGTTGGCAATCTCCATTCTCTTGAAAATCGGTGCACTGAGCGAGGCCATGGAAGGTATCCGCGGCAGCATGATCTCCAACGGGATCATGGACCACTTGCTCGACATCCTCCGGAAGACTGGCGAGAGATCACAAGCCGCGGTCGTAAACAGTGCCTGTCTCATCCGCAACCTCGCCCGCAGCCTTACTTCCGGAACCGATAACGCACTCAGGACCTTGCTGGCCGTCTACAGGTTCTGCCTCACTAACAGCCCCCGGGAAGGCTACGTTGAGAGGATAACGTACGTGATCTCCGCTCTGGAGACGCTCACCGTTCCGGGCACTCAGCAACTGAAGCTGCTGCTGAGAGACAGCATCCCCATCCTCGTCAAGCCGCTGCAGGAAGACTACGCCAGCCAAGGTGACCCCGACGAGAAGATCAAGAGGAGCGCCCTGGCAATCCTGGCAAGCCTGTTGCAGGAAGCAAGCCTGTGCAAAGAAGTGCGCAGCATGCTTCTCACCCGTGCCTCCGTGTTGGCCTTGAGGAATATCATGGACAAGTCCGGCAGCAACGAGTGCAAGACGCGCGCTCTCAATCTCTTGGCCAAGCTCATGACCTCCGCCTCCAGCTTGAAGGAGGTAAGCAAGATGATGCGCGAGGATGACTGCATCAGCGTGGTGTTTAGACTCACGCAGCTACACGAGTGCTCCATCCCTGCCACCAAGTTAATCGAGTTGATGAAGCATGACAGGAGTACGAGAACTTACATCGAGGGAAACTTGTTCCCATGGCAAAGAACCACCTCGGCACCGGCAATGAGCAGAGGTGTGTAGAAAAAGTAGACACAGTGTTGTACACTCCAATGTGTATAAACAAGAATATTTTCATTTTCTCGGCCTGAAGGGCAGCACAAAGGATATCGACTTTCCTGGTTTGGTACCTGTGAAAAAATACCTTTCAAATCAATGATCGAGACTAGAACAAGACGCTCACTTACATTCTTTCGAGCACTGGTTGACACACGAGCCGATGACTCGCTTGGTGTCATCCGGATCTAGAACGTAGCCTGTTGTTCCGTTGACATGACGAAGGTGTCGAGCGATAGCAGCTTTGCAAACCATGCTACAAGGCTGTGAGCACGACTCCTCTCTCGATTGCCCCTCTCCTTTACCGCAGCAAGGCTCCCCCAGCAGCGTCACCTGCATTTTCCTGAGATGCCATCCACACTTTCTCAAAAGTGGTAAACCTTCAATCCGGCTGGAACTGCCTGAAGCTCCGGGCTTTCCAAGCTGGATTCCAAAACATTCATGCTAGATAGATTCATGGAGACAAGCAAGAGTTAGGATCAGCAATCTTCAAAGATAGAGCTTCTCCTACCATGCTGACGCCGTGAAGCCCTTTCTCCGAGCGACAATCTTCCCCTCCACAATCTGCTCGATAAAATACTTCTTGCTGACAAGACAAAGCTGAGAAAGACGAAAAAGAGGATTACCTACAAGATGCTTCCATAGATTGTGAATGGCTCCACCGGATCGCGCTCCACTCGCTGCTCTTGCTGCTGCTGCTGCTGTTGCTGCTGGCCCCCAAGCCAGTCGAATGCAAGCGCTTGTGATGGCGGCGGATGGAGCACGAGTGCCGCGCAGCTGGCCAGAGACACGAGCGCGCTCCTGGTGTGCGGAGGAGCGCTTCGATGCCCAGGCCAAGGCACCGGATTGCTCGCCATAGCCATAAAATAATTTAAAAAGAGAGATAGATTAGGGTTCCCTGCCTAAGGAATTGAATGGCTCGCGTCGTGGATGCGCACCATCGTGTGTGGGCGCAAGCATGCTGCTGTAAGTCTCTTGCTCGCGCATCGCCTCCCAGATCTTGCTGCTCGCGACGTCTCCACCAAGGCAGCAGGTCAGCTGCTGTGCGCGCTCAAGGCATGCGGCAGCATTGGCGATGTGGAGCTGGGGAGGAAGCTCCACTGCGATGCTGCCCACGACGCCATTGTCACCGGCATTCACGTAGCAAACACGCTGCTGAGCATGTACGCGAGATGCGGCAGCCCCGCGGATGCTCGCGCCGTCTTCGTGGCCATCCCGCGCCCTGATCTCGTCTCCTGGAACGCGCTCGTCCTGGGCCTGGCGATCAACGCTGGCTACCAAGCCGAGGCTCTTCACTTGGTGGAGGAGCTCATGCCGGCTTGTGATGCCCGGACCTTTGTAGCGGCAATGGTGGCTTGTGCGAGCCTGGCAGCACGACAAGGAGATCGCGATGGCCTGGAGTTGCTGGACAGGGCCATGGCTCTACACTCCCGGGCTCTGAGTAGCGGCAACATGGACTTGTTTGTGGCCAACTCCGCGGTGGATATGTATACCAAGTGTGGCAGCTTGCTGGATTCCAGGATGGTCTTCGATAGGATGCCGTGCCATAGCTTGGTGTCGTGGAATTCCTTGATATCGGCCTGTGTCGACAACGAGGAAGCCGAGCTCGGGCTCCAGCTCTTCCACACAGTGTCGGATCATGGATGGGAGCCGAATGCTCGGACGTTTGTGGCTGCTCTTTCCTGCTGCTCGTCACTCATATCCAAGCAAGGCAGTACTCCCGGAGAACCAAACGTAGTATGTTGGAAGGAGGAGGTTGCGAAAATCCACTCTCAAGCTGCTGGGACCGGCTGTGACTCGCAACTCTTTGTAGCAAACTGTTTGATCGACGTGTACGCGAGCTGCGGCAGCTTGCTAGAGGCTCGAGCGGTGTTCAACAAGATGCAAGTCCGTAGCGTCGTCTCGTGGACAGCTCTACTTTTTGGATACGTCCACAACGGGGAAAGCAGGGCCGGACTGGAGCTGTTTTCGCGCATGCAAGCTCAAGGCTCCGTAACTCCAAATGCCTGCACGTTTGTAGCGGCTCTCATGGCTGTCTCGGCTCTGGCGGAAGAAGAAGCAGGCAAGCTTGTCCGTGGAAGGCTTGTCAAAGTGAGCAGCCTGGAGTACGGGATGGGTTTACACTCCCAGCTTTGCAAGGACGCGGCTGCAGTGACGGACATATATGTGGGAAACAGCATCCTTGTCATGTACACCAAGTGTGGCAGCATGCTGGATGCTCGTTGCGTCTTTGATACCATCTCCACTTGGGACACCGCATCGTGGAACTCGCTTCTCCTCGGCTACGCTGAGAATGGAGAGGCAGAACTATGCCTGGAACTGTTCGCAGCCATGAAGCCATCAGTCGTTGCAATCGCCCCGGATGCTCGGACTCTCGTTGCTGCACTCGTTGCTTGCGGGAGCCTTACTTCACTTCAAACTGGAAAGTTTCTCCACGGGGAGATTTGCAGGCACGGAATGGAGAGGGACGTGTTCTTGGCAAACAGCCTCATTGACTTGTACAGCAAATGCGGGAGCCTAGCCAATGCAGAACAGGTTTTCGATTCGACAAGCACCAAAAACTCGGTGACTTGGAGTTCACTGATTGCGGGATATTGTCAAGCAGGAGACGGAAATGATGGAGCCGCTTTCGCGCTTGAGCTCTTGTCCCTGATGCGTGAACTTGGCCTGGAACCCAATGATGTTACCTTTCTGTCGCTTCTCACGGGATGCAGCCGAGCGGGGCTTGTTAACAAGGGAAGGCAGTGCTTCCGAGCTATGATCTCGCAACACAGGATCAAGCCTCGCATCGAACACTACCACTGCATGATCGATATGCTGGGCCGTGCTAATCGCCTGGAGGAGGCCATGTCAACGCTGGAATCCATGCCTTTCTGTGCAACTCAAGTCACCTGGACTATCATCTTGGCAGCGTGTCACAAATGGAACAACGTAGAGCTGGGGACAAGGGCTTACCACAAGCTGCTTGACATGGACGAGAGCCAGATCGCGGCATACGTGCTCATGTCCAACATCTACGGGATCAATGCAAGAGCTTGAGTCGGTCCGATGAGCAGCAAACAATGCAGCCCAAGCAACGGAGTCGGGAGTGAATGACATGGTTATAGCTACACGTTAAGGCTTGATGTGAATCAGCCAACTCCTTTCTCAGTTCTCTGATATGCTTCCATACTCTCAGGGCTTATGCTCTTTGCGTGTGAGTATGTGTGGCTCCAGCTTGTACTAGTAGTAAGTTCTTCCCTCTTGCTGCTTCACTTCCGTGTCTTTGATGATGACGTGCTGCTGATCACTTATGGTCCAAGAATACAAAGGTTATGTGTGGAAGAAAGGTATATAAGAAGCGCTTTTCATATATACATATTGTCATGGGCTCCATGTTGGCTCGGCACGGGTGCTCGAGTTCGGTGGTGTACTCAAGTAGATTTTTCAACCGGGAGATGGAGATAGCTAAGGTGGACAAGTTGTTGCAGCCGTCAGTCTTCGGTGACGCTGGGAAGGTTGTGACCATTCTCGGTCCCAAGGATTCGGGTAAGACGGCAGTGATTCGCGAGTTCCGCCGTAGGCAGAGCTTGGGGCTGGTCTCGGGGGTGTCTTCCTACATCCATTTGCGGCAGAGTTACAACTTGTCCCCCGCGAACTTTGCCAACACTTTGTGGACGAGCCTTGGGCAGTCTCTGGGGCAGAAAATCGACGCCGATGCAAATATGAAAACTCTGAAGCATCAGATTGGTTGCAAGTCATGGGGTATTGATATTGACGACAAGTTATTCAAGGTTACCACTCCTCAAAGAACCGCCTTGCATAGTAGGGAGCGGGCTGATGCAATGGCAATGGTGTTTGAGGCTTTACCCCACTACTGCATGGACGTGGTGAGGGATTTTCTGAATGGCTACACTGGTGGCTTTCCAACGGCTTTCATCGATGAAGCCAACGTTCTTCAATACTGGCATTCTCGCGAGATGGATGAGCTGATGCGGCAGATAGTCAGGTTCTCCAAGCAAGAGTGTGTTGCAAACGTTGTCTTGCTATCGTCTGAGAACTTCTTCACGCAGTGGGATTGATCACATGCTGGATGTCCAAGGTCACCGAACGAGATCTGTGACCATAGGAAACTTCCCCAAGGATGAGTCTCTGGCTTTTGTGGGACAGCAAGCCGGGCCCGAGAGACTGGCCAAGGTGCAAGTTCTGTGGGACGAGGTGTTCGACCACATCGAATTCTGCGAACAGGTAAAGTGCGCTCATGTGGATAAAGTGGAGGAGGCATGGGAGGCCTGGAAGGAAGTAACAATTGGCTGTGAACTCAACGAAAGTTTTTTCTCTCGACATGACAAATGGACGCGAAAGACGTTCCTTGAAGTCTTGAAAAAGGTCGTGATGGTATTGTCCCGTATGCGGAGCTCCTTGAGCACCAGGATACTGTAAACTCTATGTTAGAACGCAACCTGCTGCAGTACAGGACTAATTGGACCTGTCATGGATGTGGCTGTCAAGTGGAACTACCCGATCATCATCCCAAGCAATGGCCATGAAAAAGCTTCTCTCTCTCAACTCTTGATATGACTCTACCCTTTGTTCTTTCCTTTTTCAAGGAAATAAAAATGTGCGTCACGGCTGACAAATCGTTATGCCTTTCTTATGCAGCTCATCTTCGCAGCGGGAGAACGCTTTTCCGCACGCTGGTGACGGCATACGCGTGTGCTCATGTCCAACATTTCCGGCATCAATGCCCAAGGAAAGAGCTTGAATGGATTCGATGAGCAGCAAACAATGCAGCCCAAGCAACGGAGTCAGGAATGAATGGCATGGTGTCAAGGAGCTCCTGTGCCATCTCTACACGTCCAGCTCGCCCCAAGAGGCACACCACGGAGCAGAAGTGCTCCATTGCAGGAGCTATTCCATGGTCGCCCGCCATGAGCAGGAACAAATGCCGGGCTTGTTCAAGAAGACCAACATCGTTGCTAGCAGCTAGAACACTCAACACTGACCTCTGGCTCACGTCCGCCCCTTCCATTGTCATGGTGCGAAGCAGCTGGATCGATTGCGTGTAGCTGCGGCGTTGCGACTGTGCCGCTCCCATGATGTTCCAGGAAACTGTATCACGCTCGGGCATGGAATCAAACACTTGTTTTACAAACTCGACGTTTCCGTACTGGCAATTGATTTGGAGCAATCCGGTCCAGGACACCAAATCTCGCTCCGGCATTGAGTCGAACACCAGCTTTACGCCCTTCAAGTCGCCATTGCGGCAATATGCAACGAGGAGAACGTTCCATGTTACCAACGTCGACTCGGGCATCTTCTCAAAGGTGGTCATTGCCGCTTCCAAATGCCCAGAAGCGGCATAAGTGTAAACCATAGCCGTCCATGCCACGACATCGCACTGGGACATAGAAGAAAACACGCATGCCGCATTTTCTACGTGCCCCGCGCTTGCAAAAGCACGCAGCATGGTGGTCCAAGACGCAAGATCCTTTTCCGGCATCGAGTCATACGTGTGCTTTGCAGCGTGTAGATGCCTGTTTGAGGCATACGCCGCAAGCAAAGCGTTCCATGTCACAGTGTTGCGCTCCGGCATTAAATCAAACAGGGCTTGAGCCTCATAAACGTTACCTCGTTTTGAGTAGGAGTGGATCATAACTGTCCAAGAGACGACGTTTCTGGCCGGCATCCGATCAAACAGAACTCTAGCTTTCTCCATATGCCCATTACGGACATATGCCTCGAGCACAATGGTCCACGAGAACACGTTGGGTCCGGCCATGCAACAGAAGACACGCTCAACCTCGTCGAGGCAGCGACACCTACTGTACATCTTCATCACCAAGTTGATGAGATATGTGTCATCGCCAAGCCCGCTCGCCACCATCTGCCTGTGGAGCAGTCGAATGCGCGACGGCTCTGTGGAGCTCCCCAGAAGCGAGCTGAAGCGCCTCCGTGTGCAAGCGAGTTCCATGTACCGCTAAGCTAAGCCATTGCCGTGTGTCACGGCCTCTAAGAAAGTGACAATCGTTTCCAAGGTGTCTGTCTATAGTGAACAAATGCCGCCACCTGGTATCGCTCTATAGAAACATCTGGACTCTTGTAATCTACAACTAGAAACAATGTTAAGGCTTGATGTGAATCAGCCAACTCTGAACGAATCCTGGATGCTTCGCAGTTCCCTGGCATGCTTCCGCCATTGGAGTCCTACACAAAGAGAGAGAGATAGATTGGAACACAGAACTTCGTGAGAAGAAAAACTTACCGCTCGCGTTGACAGACATGAGATAGAGCCTGTTCCCAGCGGCTGTTGCCGTGATGAGTACGTGTGGCTCCAGCTCGTACTGGTAGTAAGTTCTCCCATCGTACTGCTTCACTTCCATGTCTTTGACGCTGCCCTCGATGTTCTTGCCGGTCACCTCTGGCCCGAACGCGTCGATCACCTTCTCTGGTGGTCCGATCTCTTCGATCTTGGCATTGTCATCGATTGCTGCCACCATCCAAATCGATATGAGTCTAGATGCTTTGAGACACTCTAGCTACTCACTGTCTGAAAATCTCCTCACGGGAGCCACAACGACTGCGATGCTGCCTTCTTCGCTGCTGGCAAACCGGAGGTCAATCTCGGTTCCACCCAGGTCCGCTATAGACACGGGAACCTGTGCATTACGAAAGTATATTGCGGATGGACATGGAGAATGTTCACGGAGCCTACCTCTTGCCAGTTTTGTGGAACTCGGAAAGAGTATGGTATCATGGGACTCCAGCCCACGCCATGGCCGCCAGATTTCTCATCGGGTCTTCGGTACGTTCTGATGCCTGTACAATGAAAGATGTGATCTTGGAATCAATGGAAATTTCACTCTCACCATTCTCGTCAGGAAGGGAAAGGCCGGGAACGCGTCCCGCAAGGAGGGTTTGTGACACCGCGATTGCCTCTTGGTGGTGGACGCAGCTTTGGTGGAGAATGAGCGATCCTCCAGCCAGGAGGAAATTCCTGCGGTGGGTGCTATGAAAACCATTACCACACTCGCCTTGCACATCGCCCGAGGAAAGAGCTCGCGCTAGTACTCGCAATCGCAATCGTAGCGCCGGCACGCAGCCAAGGCGTCCACCACCGCAAGCCAGGGCCATCACTTGGACCTAGAATATGCGAATCTCGATTGCATTTGGTTGGAGAAATCCTGGATGATAAAGTTGCAAATTATAACACTTGAGTGAAATATCCAGGAGCGATCATTCCGCATGAATGGTGTTTTTGCAGGCAACGTCGATCTTCCTCCCTGCCACACCTGGAACGGCTAAAGGTCGTCGCGCCAAAGATAAAGAAATCCGCATATAAAGTCCAAAGTTCTCGCAGGGTACTTGTTATGGTTGTAGAAAATGAGCAAGATAGCATCCCAGTGGTCAGCTTGGCCAAAGTTCTTGCAGGGTACTTGTTATGGTTGTAGAAAATGAGCAAGATAGCATCCCCAATGGTCAGCAACAACTTGTCTATCTCCATCTCCCGGTTGACAATATCTCGAAAACGCGCTCACACAAAAAGAATCAGGAGCGATCTCGGCCGTTGAACGCTTGAAGAATCCACGGCGAGGTGGTTACGCCTTTATATTGCTGACTTGGCACTACTGTGGTGGCGCCACGTGTCAGTCAAAGGCGCCAGGTCTGGTAGGTGTGAACGGTGGCTGGCCGCGTGGACTGGTTGCAGTAGTGTTGTGGAATTGTGGGCAGCGCAAATCCCCCATTCTTTTTGTGGAGGGCTCCTGGGGCTGGGAAGCGAATTGGAGGAACAAGAGATCAATCCCTCCTCCCTCCTCTGCTATTTCCGGCCCAGCGATAGCTTCATTCTCATCGATTTTTAGGTCTTCATTTTAAGCGCGCTCGCAGCAAATGGAGCAGATGGGCGGAGGAATGGAGTCGTCGAGCCTGGATTTCGTGCTGGCGCTCTTGGGCGTCAAGGGGATGGCGTCCACCAACATCTCCCCGCTCACCCTGCTGCTGTCGGCGCTGCTCCTCGTGGCCGGGGCGCTCTTCCTCTGGTGGAAGGCAGCTGATGCCGGCAAGCGCGTGGCGGAGCCGCCCACAGTGGTGACGCCAATTGTGGAAGCCGAGGAGGAGGAGGCCGATGATCTAGCAGGCTACACGAGCAAAGTGACCGTCTTCTTTGGCACCCAAACCGGAACCGCGGAAGGTTTTGCAAAGGTGTGGTTTTTGTTTATATTTCTCGCTCCCTCTTTTTGGCGTCTTCGCTCCAGCCAGCTTCCGGGATTGATTTTTCGTGTTCTTCTAGGCCCTGGTCGAGGAAGCAAAGTCTCGATACGACAGGGTTCTCTTCAAGGCCGTCGACTTGGTAAACTTCTTTTCTTCGTTCTTTCCAGTCTTTCTAAAGGCTACTCTTTGTTCCAGGACAACTACGCAGCGGACGACGACCACTATCGGCTCAGGCTCAAGAAGGAGAAGCTGGCCATCTTTATGCTCGCAACGTGAGAATCTCGTGTGGAGTTTAATAATCTCTGCCAAGCAGCGTTTTGTGAACTGTGCATCTTTGTGTTCTTTGCAGGTATGGTGACGGAGAACCGACGGACAATGCGGCCAGGTTCTACAAATTCCTTACGGAGGTAGAAGACTCTTTTTCTTTTCCTTGGAATCTTTAAGTAAGATCGATCGACTTGCAGGGTGGTGACGAAAGAGGCTTGTGGCTGAACGAGATGACTTACGCGGTGTTTGGTCTGGGCAACCGCCAGTACGAGTACTTCAACAAGGTAGACCGACCGTTCATCCTTTTGCGATTGCTGATAGTTAAAACTTGATCTCGTCACAAGGTTGGAAAGGACGTGGACGAGGAATTGGAGAAGCAAGGTGCCAAAAGGCTTGTTCCCTGTGGAGTTGGCGATGACGACCAATGCATCGAAGACGATTTCTCCGCCTGGTACGACTCTCTAAGTGCTAGTGCTTAAAGGCTTACGCGTGTTTCTACACACAGGCGCGAGCAGCTATGGCCGGAGCTTGACGCTTTGCTTCGGAACGAGGACGACGTTGCCATTCCTTCCACTACCACTTACACGGCAGCTGTCAGCGAATACCGAGTTGTAATTCATGAGAAGCTAGCAAAACTCGTCGAAGGGAGCTTTCTCCCGGTGGAAAACGGTGGGCCTGTCGTTATTGATATGAACCATCCTTGTCGGTGAGAGCCTCTTTTCATCTTGTTGCTTTTAGTTCTCCTCTCATTTATTGTGCCCGGGATTCCAGAGCCATCGTGGCCGCTCGGAAAGAGCTCCATACGCCCTTGTCCGACAGATCGTGCACCCACTTGGAGTTCGACATAGCTGCGACTGGCATCAGGTACGCTAAAGCCCTCTCTTTTATCTCAAGCTCACACATATAAGTCTTGTGATTTTATTTAGTTACGAGACTGGAGACCATGTTGGTGTGTACGCTGAGAATTGTCACGACGTTGTGGAGGAGGCTGCCAATCTTCTAGATTATACGCTGGACACAGTCTTTTCACTTCACACAGACACGGAAGATGGCACTCCGTTGCCTGGTAGCCTTCTTCCGCCATTTCCCACACCCTGCACTCTAAGAACTGCCTTGGCTCGTTATGCCGACTTGCAAACTCCTCCTCGCAAGGTAATGCACATCGGCCACCCCAAGTTTCTGTTCTCCTAACCTTTGCTTTTTGTCTGTGTAGGCTGTGCTTGCTGTCCTTGCGGCATATACATCAGAGACTAGCCATGCAGACCGTTTGAAGCACCTAGCATCGCTGCAAGGAAAGGTTGGTTGTGATCGTACAGGGTTTACATTTTCCAGCTTGTCTTGACTTTGGTGATGTTTTCCTGCAGGAGGACTATTCGCAATACATTTCTTCGTGTCAAAGGACCCTGCTGGAGGTTTTGGCTGACTTTTCCTCTGTCAAGCTGCCACTCGGGGTCTTCTTCGCTTCAGTGGCTCCGCGTTTGATGCCAAGATATTATTCCATCTCGTCCTCTCCAAAGTACGTCCTTTCTCGCCTACTCCTGTGCTCACTGTCATTGCTGCGCAGGTTTGCGCCCACTAGGATTCACGTCACTTGCGCGTTAGTTCATGGACCAAGTCCAACTGGCCGCCTGTTTAGAGGAGTTTGCTCTACATGGATGAAGGTTTGAAATTTTTTTTCAAGTGTCCGTCTCTAACTAGGAAACGCTTGTGTGACAGAATGCTCGCTCCGCCGAAGAGGCCGGCGATGACTGCAGCTGGGCTCCTATATTTGTGCGACAATCAAACTTCAAGCTTCCTGCGGACCCGAAAATTCCCATCGTGATGATAGGACCTGGCACCGGCCTGGCACCTTTCAGAGGATTCCTCCAGGTGTTTTTTTCTTGTGTGATTTATTTTATTCCTGGAACTCATTTCTGTTACTTCTCAGGAAAGAGCTGCTCTACAAGATTCGGGTGAACAACTGGGGCCCTCGGTTCTTTTCTTTGGATGCCGCAATCGGAATCAGGTAAATGTGTTTCTCGTTTTTTGTGTTGTTTTGTCCGCAACGCCCAGTCTTGTGAGCAGGATTTCATTTACGAGCGCGAACTGAACGAGTATGTGAGCAGAGGAACTTTGGCAAACCTGTACGTGGCCTTTTCGCGAGAGGGCTCCACCAAGGAATACGTCCAACACAAGATGCAAGACAAGGTGCGTTTGTTATCTCCTGTATCTCTCTCGTCTCATACTGCTTGTTTTGTTGTTCCTTCTTTCAGGCTACTGACTTGTGGAGACTTCTGTCTAACGGGGCCTACTTGTATGTCTGCGGCGATGCCAAAGGAATGGCTCGCGACGTTCACAAGATGCTGCTTACCATTGTCCAAACCGAGGTGAGTTTTTGTGCTTACCACCGATGCAAAAGTCAACTTTTTCTTGGCAGGGCAACGTCAAGGAAGCTGAGGCTTTTGTCAAGCAACTGCAAAACGATGGTCGATATTTGAGAGACGTCTGGTGATTGCTTTACCTGCGAAGTGATTGAAACAAGGAAACGACGTACACTACGAATTTTGTAGTTAGCATTCATTGAGAGACGAATTGTCTCTTGCTGTATTCAACCGACTCCAAACCATTTCACCCATTAATTAACGCAACTTCATACTTTGTGCTTGCGAAGTAAACGTGAATCAATCTCAATGCAATAACACTTTGTTCACTTGAGCTACTTGTGCTCATGGTATACGAGAAACTCCAGCTCGAAGATCCGTTCCTGGTGCTTCTTGTTCAGCTCTCGCAGCTCCGCCATGGCCTTGTGAAGATCTGCGTTAGCAAGCTGGAGTTGCTCCAGCTTCGCATTGCACTGCTCCAGCTGCTTTTCCAACTCCGCCTTACCATTCTTTGTCTCCGCCTCCAGCTTGGCCATGCGATCCATCACTTCATCTTGCATCGCCGCCAGGAGGCCTTCCGCATGGAGCTTTTTCTCCTTCGCATCTTTTACCTCGGCCTGGAGACTAAGCTTTTGCTCCCTGGTATCTTTCACCTCGGCCTGCAAACTAAGCTTTTGGTCCCGGGCGTCTCTCACCTGGGCCTCCAACTCTTTAACCTCCCCCGACAAGGCAGTATACTTGGCCACCAATCCCTTCCCCGCATCCGTGGACACGTTCACCGTGGGTGGCAAACCTGGTGTCAGCTGCGCCCACTCCGCAACCGTGAGCCCCTCGAGACCATCTGTATGTAACAGGTTAGTTCACCGTGGAAGAAGACTCGCGGCACCTATGACATAGTGAACGAAGTCTTTGGGATCAAGCACGCTCCTCGTGGGGAGAAGCTTCTGTGCACTCCTCAGGCATTCCTCGACCGTGGCTTTGGCTGGCGCTGCCAACTTTGCTACCTTTGTGAAGGCTAAGTCCGGCTCCATAAACTCGACACATATCCTCACCTGTGCATCCTGTGTTACGTGGGAAAGTATGTGAGAATCCCAAGCGTTACCTCATCAGGGCCAACAGAAGGGTCCACGGTAGCCTTCGCTTTACCTTTGTGCTTCTCGCGCTTCTTGTTACCCATACTACCTCGTCAAAAACCCTACCCCCGACCCTCTTTATGGCGGAGAATCACTCCACAATGGGACTGTCCTCCACATCATCTTGAACGTCTGGTACTGACTTTGGTTCTCCCAGTGTGTCACCTTCCTCCTGAAGAAGGGCCTCCTCGTCACCTTCTTGCATCTGCTGTGACGCTGGCTGCTCTTCCTCGTCTTGTCCACAGAAGCGAAGCACAAACTGCCTGAACGTCTGCACCGCGGAGTTGACGTCCACCTTCTGCTGCATTAAGTCTTGCAGCACCTCCTTTGAGAAATCATACTCGTCTTTGCTTGCGTTCACTTTTTCTGGGTCGATATCATCTTGGACCTGTGGAAATGGCAAAACGTGTGACGATGAGTTGATAGTAGTGAATAAATTTCCATAGATTGCTAGTTACCTGTGACCAGGTCTTCTTGAGAAGGTCGAATACAGTGCTGGCAGGCGCTTCAATGCCGTGGTTATAGGCTATTTGAGCAAAGGCCTGTGGACTGATGCTGTCTCCTCCATCCGGCATCATCAATAGTGTCTCCCTGAACATCCTGATTGCACTTTGCTGCGAGATCGATGAATCTGCAGTAGTGACAATCTCTCGGAACTCGCTGAACGTCAAAACTCCATCTTGATTTGCGTCTCCGGCAATGAACAGATTCTCCAGCTCGGTTGCCTGAGATACTTTAACATCAAAACCACGTAAAATCAGAAGGCCTTAATACCTTATCCTTGGGAACTGGCTTGCTGACTTGAATGCTCTTTCTCCGTTCGTCTTGTATGGTGTCCTGGATAAACAAGAATAGCGAGGACTCTCAGAAGCTGTATCTCCTTTTCTTTTCCTGTTCTTACCATCTTATGTGGATAGACCGCTAGTATCGCCTCCACAAGCAGGTCCCAATCAACTTTTCGTACTTCACTTTCCTTCACAAGCTTCCTGATCTGCAAAGTTCACAACTTTTACTTTGAAAGGAAAACAGCAAAGTCAAGACTTACCTCTGGTGACGCCTTTTCAGTCACTGCATTCTTTGCAACGTACTTCTCCACGAACGACAATGCTGCTCCCTGGCTTCCAAAGTAGGCAACGAGATTGGGCTCGTCGGCAATGAAAGCGTACTGGGATGCATTCAAGAATATAAGACCGTCGTCTTGGTCAGATGGAAGCAGCACTCCTGTTTTGCTTGAAGCTCGCTGAAGGATTTTAAGGTAGAGATAGAGATCGGGCTCGCTGTAGTTGTTGGTTTCGTCCATACCAACAAACCGGCTGAAGACTCTGATCTGCCAGGACGTAGAAAAGCATATTAGAAACTTCTCCATTACGGCTTTAATGCCTGCCTACTTTATGATGCTTCTCAATCTCCTTGTTGGTGATGAGTGTCTTGACCGTCTTAAAAACACCAAAGATCGCTGACTCGCTGAGACCTTTGAGTCCATACTGATTAAGCATGAAATCATAGACAAACTCGCAACAAGTTTGCCGCTCATTATTGCAAGAGTCATCGACAGAATCTGCGACAATTTTGCTCACGTACACCGACGCAATTAGCTTTGTTAGCTGCAGAACCGGAAGAGTATCTATAGATCAGGCCGAAGAAACAAAATAACAGAAAGAAGACGATGCTTTACCTGCCGAACGTTGAAAAATTTTACAGTCTTGGGCGGGTTGTAAATCTTCATCATCTTTGCAAACCCGAGAGGCACGTAAGACTTGAGCTGGGAACCAAATTTGCTTCCTTTGGATTTCCTGCTCTTCCTCATCTCACTGGGCCTGCCGCTGCTTGGGCCGCCCTCTATGAAAGAAACTTTTGCGCCCTCTACGGCAACAGAACCCCGCTTCCCTTGCATCAAGCTCTTGTGCCGCTGCATAAACTTCTCCCTGAACTTGTCGCCCAAAACTGTTCCAGTCATCTCGCAATACTTTTTGAGAAGGACCTCAATCTTCTCTGCCAATGCACCCTCCATCGGGAGCCTGTCGAGCAAGCCTATAGTGTCCACCGCAAGTGTCTCGAACTCTTTCAAGCGTTCGACGATTGGGGGGCCTTCGGCTTTGTCCTTGCCAGCAGCTTCGGGATCAACCCATCCCCCAGCTAGAGCTTTCAAGTCGTCAGCACTCAGCTCAGCTTGTGGAGCTGCTCCTCCTGCTTCTGCTTCTGCTCCAGCTCCCTCTGCCTCTGCCTTGACCTCTTTTTCCACCTCCTCACCACCTTTTTCTTTGGCCTCGACTATCTTCTTTGGTGGAAATATATTTGGCGGCGCGCTTTGGCATCTTCTCAGTCCCTTGCTGGGATCGGTCTGTGTGTAATCGTCTCGTCGATTTGTCTCTGAAACAGGCACCGCTGTCTGCTGCTTTTCACCTTCCTCAAGTTGCTGGAGCTCTTCTTCTGTCAGCTGTTCAGTAGATTCATCGGCTCCTGCTTTTTTGCCAGCTTCTGCTCCCTCGGTTTGTGCACCTTCGGCAGTAGCTCCTCCGGCCTCAAGTTTCTTGCGCTCCTCCTCCTGTCTCTTCAGCTCGAGTTGCTTTTTAAGTTCCTCCTCCTGCTGCTTCAGTTCCTCTTCCGTGGGTTCGTGCGTGTATCTGAACGATATCGACCGCTTTTTCAGGTTGACGAGATACTCGTTCCGGGATCTGGGTGACATGTTCTCCGTGCGACACAGCCGACACCTCTTGATCTTCCTCATCTCAATGTCCTTGTCTTTGAGTTTGGCCCGTATAACGTCATACTGGTCCCTGTAAAAGTCGTGATCGGAAAGCATCCGCGACAGGTGATCTTTCGCCCCTTCTAGATCATCTCGTAGCCGCTTCATTTCATCTTCTGTAGCATTGAGCTTTGGTTCCGCTCGCACAAGAACCTGAGCGTGCATGCAAATAGACTAGTTAAGGTTTGTAAGGTTAGCACGCTTTCGACTAGTACCTGATTGAAAATACGTAGCAATTGCCTCCAAAGATGGAGAAGGAGGTTTCCACGCTCTTCGCAATGGATATCCACCTGCCATGTTTATCTAACTCCAACAGTAGAGCCATGAAAGAAGAATATTTGCACACATACCTGACGAACGATTTCTAGGAAGGCAATAGAATGAAGAACAAACGCGGCTTCCACGTTCTCAAAACGTCCATCCACTTTCTCACAATGGTTCTTTTGCATTGCATGCTGCAGCCAATCTCCGAGCAGTTGCACGTCCTCTCTTTTACCTGGCTGTTTGAATACAAATAATCACACCCGAGGTTTTTCGACTACTGCAAAGTATTACCTGAAGAGCAGGAAAGACAACCGTATACCATCTCTTATCGAATGGACTGTAGGTGAACTTGCAGTCGGGTCTTCCCAGAAGTTCTGGCTGCCAGACAAAAACGTTATCAACCGGTATGACTGACAGTGCGAAGAGTACCTGGACGACATACTTGTTCACAACATAGTCCTCGACGGGAATGTAAGAAGGCAGAGAAGAAGGAGGTGGAGCAGCGCTCTTGTGTGGTTCCAGGGACTGCTGCTGATCCTGCGGAGGGTCGTCCTTTGCTTGTTTTTCAACAGCTACAGGCTCGTTGTCGACTTCAGTGAGATGAGCAGCAGCAGCAGGAGCAGCAGGCTCAGCGTCCTTGGCGCTAACATCTTCGTGCTTGCTTCCTTCGACCTCGTCAACATTCTTAGAGAGCTCGGTACCTTGGTCACCAGGGATTGGAGAGACGACTGGATTAGTGCACTCGACAAAACGGATTATGAGCTCCCTGACTTTCTCGAGTAGAAGCCGGTCCTTGACTAAGAAACCAGCCTCCGGCGGAACCCTGTTCACCCTGGCTTCCATGGCTTCCCACTCGGCTCTTATCTCGCGGACGTGCTCGCCTGCAAGTTGAGGGATGGATTCCATCTGCGTCAGACGAGTGCTGTGTGAAGCTGCTATAAACGAGGAGTCCAGTTAACGGTTCATCGATGCCACGAGCTCACAAGAACAAAAAAGAAAAGTTACCTGGATGAACATCTCGCGGATTTCCGTGTCTTTGAGACCAATCGCTTGGAGCAGCCACTGCTTTGCACTGATTGGAACAGTCGCCGAGGCCACAGTCCCGGACTTGGTCTTCCGTATAGCATGAGGAACGTTCGACTTTCTCCCGGCGCCATAGTCCGGAGGTCTCAAGTGAGGAACTGCTCGAACGCCTTCTCTGGAAGCCCCGGTGAGCTTGGTGAGATAGTCCGGAACTTTCATAAGGAGTCCTCTCTTGCAGAAGGTGTCCACCACCTCCTCTCTCTCCACGACTTTGTCGCGTGGCTTGCTTCCAGAGGAGTAGCCGCCGGGGATCCTCGGCGTCCTCACCGCAGCACACGCCTGGAGCCTCTCACTCACAAGCTCGGCCATGTCCGCCGCCTTGGAGCTCCCGCAAGTGGAGCTCGCAACCTCCCTAGCGGCGGCAGCTCCCACCCTCCGCCCCCTCCTCTCCTCCTGGACGTGCTCCTTCCTCTGGAACCCCGTGTGCTCGTGGCTGGACAGGCGAGTGGGAGTGGTGGACGGACCTCTGTGCGATGCAATGCGGCCCAAATCCACCGACGCCGATCGCTTGAACACATCGTGGGAGAAGGCCGAGCGAGACGACGCCTGACCCACCTCGAATGCCCGCCTGCTGGGCGACGGCGATCGATGCGACACGGTCGCCCTTGCCAATGCCGCCCCTTCCTCGCGGCTTGGGATGCATCGCTTGAGCTTCAGCACGGATCCGCGCAGCCACGACGAGTTGATGCCGCTGCCCTTGTCCTGCGGCGCCGGAAACTTGTCCAGCAGCATCGCGCATTCTTCTCCTCCTCCCCCACGCTAGGGTTTAATCCCTCCAAAACCCTAAATAACGACCGTATTGCCGGCTGAAGTGTCATCTTGCGGTTTGAACCCTGGACCTCCTTTTTGGTTTTCGCCCTAATCGTGGCCATGGCCGTCTTGATTTGTGTGCGTCATGGTGAGACGACATGGAACGCCAGCGGGAAGCTCCAGGTATGTGTGTGTCGATCGATCGATCGGCTACCATGGCATTGACGATCATGGATCCTATTTTTTTTTCTTTCTTTTTTGTTGTTTTTTTTCTTCTTGTCAGGGACAATTGGAGACCGATCTAAACGACGCTGGAAGGAAGCAAGCATCCGCTGTATGTTGAAAAGACTAGAATGCAGCCAAGAGTCTGTGGAGGTCAGGATGATCAAAGCGATCTCTCTCATTTTTGTCTTTTGGTTTTCGTCCTCTCAGCTTGCGGAACATTTGGCTAAACAAAGCTCGCAGAAGATCACAGCGGTTTACTCGTCGGATCTTCGCCGTGCATCAGACACGGCCCAGACAATCGCTGAAAAGCTGGGATTGTCACAGGTAGAGCATGCTTCTCCCATGTGTTCTTGAGAATGTCAAACGTTTTCTTATGGCTTTTGCAGGTGAGCACGACACCACTGCTTCGAGAGCGGCATTTGGGCAGGCTCCAAGGCCTGACGCCAAAGCAAGCTCGCGAGAGAGAAGCCCACGCGTTTAAGATACTCGCCTCTTCGTCCGGCGACGAACCCATCCCGGTGAGAACTAAGGCTCAGTGTTGTGAGTGAGCTCACAGATGGTTTTCTCAGGGTGGAGGGGAGAGCTTCGGTGAGATGCGCGATCGCGCGGCAAGAGCGGCTGAAGACATTGCTCGGCAGCACGAAGGTATTCCTAGATCTTCTCCGATCGACACACCCGTTTGATGAGTGTGTGGTCTCTTCTCTTTCTTCAAGGCGAGAGAGTGGTGGTGGTGACGCACGGTGGTGTTCTTCAGTCCATGCATGTCACCGCGACGGGCAAGCCAGCGCCGGGCCGTGTCCCCAACGCGTCGATCAATGTCTTGAGCATCTCTAGCGACAACCAGTGGAAGTTCCAGTCGTGGTGCGACGTGGAGCATCTCAAGGGCGTTGGCTTCTTGTCCTCGGCATTTGGAGGTGGCGCCAAGTCGGGCTGACCCTCTCTTCTTTCCAATTGAGACTCTCCATTCTTTAGCAGCCTACGGTCCTGTGCTTGCACTGTCCATGCTCGAATCCTCAGTGGAAGATGCGTCTTTCTGATCCCGGAAAAGGCAGAGATCCGAACATCATGATCCAGGCGTATGCCCGGAATGCGTATACTGCTCAAGCCATGAATTTCTTTCACCAAACAGGTCACTTGGACTCCTGAAACGTAATCACTCGCAAATGAACGTAAGGAGTGTGTGCATCTTTACATCAGCATAAATTCTAGGAATATTCACTATCTTTGTTGGGTGATGGAATCTATACGCTCGGCTTCACCGAGCTGGGTAAGGCTCTGGATAAGGAGTATCCAGTTTTCAATGGCGAACTCGGAGCTGCCATCACGAAGCACCAAATCACTGGGCGAGTGTTTCTTTATCTCGACCGCAACCACTGGACAGCCTGTGGTTTGACATTCGGGGCTGCCCTGCAGCTCGAGCTGCCGAGAGATCGTTTTCTAAAAGGTAGCCGTGTTTTAATAGTTTTTCTGAAGCACAGCACAAATCAACATCTTTATCAATGGCAGCCACATGTCTCATGAAACTCTCCATGCGAGGCTTGGTGATATGGACTTTTTCACTGTTCTGACTCGTCCTGTCGTCAGCTTGGAGCTCCATTTCAGGCCAGCAATCTGTTTGTTTCTTCAGATGGAAAGGAAACCATCGTTCGAGTATATGGGCCGTGACATCGCGCCGAGAGTGGAAAGCTTCATCATGAACAGCCTCCTTGCCGAAGATGGGCGATCAGTAGATGCACCAACTTTCGCCGTGATCACTGGCACAGCGGGCTCCGGAAAGACAACTTGCGTAATGGCTGCTGTTGTGAACATGCATCGGAGGTTTGCAAAGGCTCGTGAGAAGAGCCCCGTTCCTCCTTTCTGGGAAGCTGTAGTACCAAAGGAAGATGGAGAGGCTGATGGAGACGAGATGGAAGCGGAAGAGGAAGCACAGGACAGCTACTGTACGTGGATTGCTCACAGTTTGTCAATGATCCTTTCATGACGCTGAGAAACAGTCTGCTCCTGGCTTACATAGACGACAAGCAGGATATGCAACACATTCTTGCTGCTGAAGACTACAGAAACTTGGAGGAATTTATTCGACTCAGGACATCCCGGGATCGCGTCTATGTTGTAGTTGACGATGCCAATGCCACTGGTGTGGACAAGGACGGTGGAAGTCAAACAGGAATTAGGAAGCCTTCAGTGGCGAAACGTACAGATGCCAGGGATAAGGTCGTGGCTGTGCAATTTGTCTGCTATCTCGTTGTCTGCTTTTCTGTGACGAGTGGGATCAGGAAGGACCTTGAGCACGATAAACGGCCAGCAGACTTTTTTATATGTGGAGGATACGAGGTAAGTGCGTGTGAGCTCATGGCTGCGTTTGTTTCCTACTGTAGGCTCGTGAATTGTGCAAGTATCTAGACCACCAAAAGTTACAAGTTTCAGTCAAGGAGCTTGCGGACTTGATGTGGTGGACTGGTTTCGTGCCGAGTCTGGTCTACCGGTATCTCTTTGGAGACGTGGAACAGGTGGTAGGGGATATGTCATGGCGTTGCTGGCTAAGACGTTGAAGGAGAAAAAAGATACTGACGCTCGCACTGAGATTGAAAAGTGGTCATGTTCGACAGGCTCGAATAGGATGGAACGCTGAGATGGCTACGATATTGGCTGCTGCGTTATACAGACCGCTTCTCACGTTGAATAACGGGGCCCAGCTCGTTATAGATCCGGAGGTCGTTGTGACTGGCGAGGACATTTGTGAGGAGTACCCGAACAAGAGAGTTCTGATTATTCCCAAGGAGTTCAACCACCTCAGGGCGCGTACGTATTATGTAGCTGGGGGACTCGTGGTTGTGATCCAGGTATCGGTGGCAACAAACGCGATCAGGATCCACGCCGAGGCGAGGGAACTGGCTGGACAAATTTTCTGCGAATTGGCTGAAAAGTCCGCAGGTCGCAAGTGCTTCTGGCATGGGTTGTTCATGGTGACGCATGGGGATATGAAAAAAGGTGAGGATGTGTACGACGAAGTTGTGTCTACATTCGGTGGTTTTAGTAGTGCTCTCAAGGCCGTCGATGGACATTGCGATGTTCTGAAAGGAAGGGTTCCAAGAGAGGAGGTTTGCTTTGTTTGATTTCATGTAGATTGAAGACTGATTTGTTATTGTTTCAGGATTCGTGCGTTGAGTGTTCTGTTACTTTGGTGAAGAAGAGCGTGGTGACTGGGTTCAATGCGGTGTTTGCAATGGCTGGGTTCACAGACTTTGTGCTGGTGAGAGGTACACTGGGCCCGAAAATGTTTTCCAGTGCCTTTTCTGTGATGCGACACCGGCATTGCATCGAAGAAAAGGGGTCCAGTCACGTCGAAGAAGAGGAAGGTAGAGGGAGATGTTGGCAACAACATCCGCATTAAAACCTGATGTGCATCACTGATCCACTTGTGATGGAAGGATCGGATTGCTGGCGACTCTGGCGACTCTGGCGACTCTGCAAAAATTACTTCATGTCTCAATCAAATTCTCTTCATTCTGCATTTGTCAAGTGCCCTGCAAACATTTCTCCTCGCGACGAAAGATGTTCATCAGCTCCTGGGAGACCTTCAAGGCATCCGTGAGCAAGAGAGGATGCTGTTAGCAACTTTCGGCGGTAAACAACTCGTATAGCTTTTTATTCGAGCCCTGGGATCTTCTAATCCAGATTCAATCCGGACATGCTCAAGAGGGAATCTTTGTCAATGGTACTTAGCGATCTTATCCCTCGAAGGAGCAATCTATGAAGGCTTTGGGCCATAGCAAGCTCGCGTGAGAGAAGCACACGCGTTTCGCCTCGACGGGGTGAGAACTGCCTCTAAGTAGCGATATCTGTCACTGTGAGTGAGCTGCAAGAGCACAAATGCCCTACACCGAGTGTGGTATGTGTCTGTTCTTTAGTGGTGGTGACGCACGGTCACGGTCACGGGCAAGGCAGCCGCTTCGTTCAATGTCTTGAGCATCTCTAGCGACAACCAGTCGTGGTGCGACGTGGAGCATTTCCTTGTCCTCGGGACCCCTCCATTCCATCCAAAGAATCCACACTCACAATTCCTTAGAATGAATGAGCATTGCCCGCAGCCTCCGGTCCTGTGCTTGCCTTGCGGAGGCACGGCAGCTCCACGCTCGAATCATCGGCAGTGGAAGCGGCTTCTTTCTCGTCAATCTCTTGATCCAGGCGTACGGCAGATGTGGCAGCCCGGAAGAGGCAAGGATGGTGTTGGACCACGAGATCCAAGAGCCCAACATCTTCTCGTTGAATTTCATGATCCAGGCATATGCCCGGAATGGGTATACTGCGGAGGCCATGGATTTCTTTCACCAGATGCCGCGGAGGGACGTGGTTACCTGGACGTCAATGGTTGCGCTTTTTATGCATGCAAGGCACAAGCAAGAAGCTCAGACATTCTTCTTAAAAATGCCACAGCGGAATGCAATCACTTGGAATGTGCTACTCGCAGCAAATGCCCAGAATGGAGATGAGAGATCTCTTGCAAAGGCTACCTTTGATGCTATGCCCGCTCGGACCATCATCTCTTGGAATACAATGCTACAGGCGGGGTTGGATCCGTGCGCAGTGAGTGATGTGTTTCACAAGATGCCAGCGCGTGATGGTGTTTCCTGGGACTTGGCAGCCTACCACAACCGGGATGCCAAACACTGGTTTGACAACAACCCGGAGAAATCCCATGTCTCGTGGAACATCCTCCATGCACGAACGGATGATTTAGAGCACTGCAAACTTGTCTACGAGAGAATGCCCGCACACGGGGTCCTGTCGTCCACTGCCATGATCCAAGAATTCTCTTTGAAAGGGGAGATCAGTAGAGCACAAAGTGTGTTTCATTCGATGCATGCGCGCAGCCTCGTCACATGGAACACGATGATCTCAGCGTACTCGCAAGCGTTTCAGGTACGTCAAGCACAAGATCTGTTTGATCGAGCTCCGCAGCGAGATGTCATCTCTTGGACTTCCATGTTTCAGGCTCTTGCGACCTTCGGGAAACTTTCGGATGCCAAGGCGGCATTCGACGATATGCCGGAGAAGAATGTAGTTTCCTGGACGGGGTTACTACTTCTATACTCTCGTGCCGAGAGCCTCGACCGTTCCAAAGCAGCGTTTGATCGAATGCCCAGGCACGACCTTGCTGGATGGAACGCCATTATAGCAGCGTATGCTCGAAACGGGCATCTCAAGGAAGCGAGGCAGCTCTTTGAAGAGCTGATGCCGGAGAGAGGAACTTGGTCTTGCAGTTGCTTGATCGATGCCTACGCGCGGCACGGCCAGCTGCAAGACGCGAAGAAACTCTTTGATGATCCTTTGAACACCAGAGACGTTGCCTCGTGGAACTCCATGATGGAGGCGTATGCCCTCGACGAGCACAGCACGGCGACCATCCAGCTCTTCCGTGAGATGCAGCTCGACGGTACCACCCCGGACGGCATATCGTTTACCACCATTCTGGCGGCATGCAGCCACCTTGGGCGTCCACAGGACGCGCAGCGCTACTTGGAGTCCATGGCCGGTGACTATGGACTAGAGCCGGAGCGAGATCACTACATCTGCGTTATAGACAACCTGGGACGAGTGGGAAGGCTCGAACACGCCGAGGAGCTCGTTAGTTACATGCCATCTCTGGAGCTGGACGGTGGCCATTTTGCCTGGAAAACATTGCTAGGAGCTTGTAGGAACCATGGCGATCTGGGACGGGGATGTTACGTGGCCAAGCACGCTCTAGAGCTGGATCCGCAATGGGCATCGCTTTACTCTCTCCTATCAAACATTGTCGTTGAATCATTGAATGCTCAAGAATGAGAGAGATACACTAGCCGTCAAAATCATCATCGTTATGATCGAGCTCCAAGACATCATCATCACTGTCGCTGTAAACTTCAATGTGATCAAGAGCTCCGTCGTCCCTGAGCTTCCGGAGTTCTCCTCTCACGTCTTTGGAAACCGCAAGCTTCCGGAGGATCTCGGCCACGTTGGAGAGCTGGCAGTCATCATCGTTATCGCCCTCATAGCTTTCGATCATAATGGCGTTATCCACAACATGATCTGGTATCAAATCCCGGTCGTCGTCCACCAGCACCACCTTGCTCAAATCCCGACCAAGCTTGGTCACGTCCTTGGTTAGATCTGCTCCAAAGTCCATGTTTGATAGTAAGTGCGAGAACTCGGATCCTTTGCACTGGAGCTGCCGCAACGCGTTGGCTGCGTAGTCACTAGGAGCGCTAGTCCACAACACAAGCTCGTAGATGTCCGCCATATCCTTTAGAAACTGATCCACTCCTGGCCGCTTGGATATGTGCAATCGATCGCTAGTCAAGGGCCATAACAACGTCCCATCCATGTCCAGGACCAACGTCGCGGGCTTGGAACTTGGTGGAAGAAGAGGACTAGCTCGCCATTCACTCGCCATCGAATGAAACTCCTCCAACCTAGATTTCTCTCGCGGGGCCCTTATTTGTATGAGGCCGTGGCAATTGGTGCGCACGAGATCCATCCATGGTTTGAGCGCTCTCCAGGAGCAAGACGCGTTTGCGCAGCTCGTGCGATCCTGCCGAGACATATCCCAGGCCAAACACCTCCATTCTAGCATTCTCTCCAGCGTGCACGCTACCAACACCTTCCTCGTGAACCTCATCGTCCAAATGTATGGCCGATGCGGCGATGTAAACAGCGCTAGGCAGGTTTTCGATTCGCTTCGGCAGCCCAATCTCTTCTCCTGGAACATCATGATCCAGGCATATGCCCAAAACGGGCAACTCCACGACGCCAAGCTCATTTTCGATGCGGTTCCTTGCAAGGATGTTGTCTCCTGGAACGCGATGATAGCGATTTTCGTTCTAGCTGGAGATGTCGAGGGAGCTCATTATGTCTTTGATTGCATGGACCACCGAAACGTGGTGTCGTGGAACACGATATTAGCAGCATATACCGAGTTTGGGCATATTGGAACTGTTCTTTTTCTCTTTGAAAGAATGCCTCAAACAAACGCGATATCGACCAATACTCTTATTCAAGCTCTTGCTTGCTCCCACCGTCTTGATGAATCCAAGTCCCTTTTTGATTTGATGCCCGTTAGAACGGTTGTTTCATGGAACACACTCCTGCAGGCTTATACCTACAGCGGGCAGCCGGAGCTAGTGACCATCATCTATCTCCGGATGCCTCATTGGGACGTCATCTCGTGCTCATCGTTGATCGCTGTGTCTGACAAAGACGATCGCTTGGGTTATGGCAAGCAGTCCTTTGATCAAATGCCTCACCGAAACATCATCTCCTGGACCGCCATGTTTCAGGCGTATGCCCAAACGGGACATCTCCATTCTGCTACAGAGGTGTTTTACAAGATGCCCGAGTGGAATCTAGTGTCCATGAATGCACTGCTCCAAGCGTCCGCAGATCTAGATAGTTTAGAAGTTTCCCAGGAAGTGTTTGCATGGATGCCGGACCGGGATGCAGTGTCGTGGACAGTGATGCTCCAAGCAAATGCTCAAGCTGGAGATTTATCCACAGCAGCAGCCATCTTCAATGAAATGCCGTGCCGGACCATGGTCTCCTGGAACTCCATGTTGCAAATCTTAAGCCAGAGGGTCGACTCCATCACCGATGCCAAGCTCGTGTTTGATCTCATCCCCCAGCACGACACCATCTCCTGGACAACGATGATCGCGGCATTCGCCCAGGCCGGATGCGTGGACGAGGCCTGGGACGTGTTCGCCAGCATACCACAGCACAGCTCCATCTCCTGGACCGCCATGATCGCGGCTTTCACTCACAACGGATTCACGAGCGAGGCACTGCGACACTTCGAGTCGATGCCCGAGCAAGGGCTGGCAGCCAAGAACACTATCATCTCTTGCCATGCCGAGGCCACGGGCGAGATGAGCTCGAGCAAGCACGTCTTCGATGAGATGAGCCAACGAGACGTGGTTACTTGGACGGCCATGATTGGGGGATACGGTCAGGTGGACGCTCCAGATGAAGCCACGGCGGTGTTTGAGCGAATGCCACAGTGGGATCTCGTTGCCTGGAACGCGCTCATCCAGGCCTACGCGCAAAATGGCGGGGTCGATGGTAGCAAGAGGCTGTTCGATGCGATGCCGCAGAGGAATCGAGTGTCGTGGAGCACGATGGTGCAACTGGTTGCCGGGGAGGATCCGGCGGCCGGGCGATTGATGCTGGAGAAGATGCCCCGCCAGGACGCCGTCGCCTGGACTGCCGTCGTCGCGGCATACGCGCAGCTGGGTCGACTGCTTGAGATCGGTGATCTCTTCGACAGCGTGCATTGCGTGGACGTGGTGGCGTGGAATGCGATGATCCAAGCCAACTGCAAGGACTCCAACCTCGAGGGCGCCAAGGCTGTGTTTGATCGGATGCCCAAAAGGAATGTTGTGTCTTGGAATTCAGTTGTGTCAGCAAATGCCCAAAGAGGGTATCTTGAGACTGCGAAACTGGTGTTTGACTCTATGCCCAGCCGAGATGTGGTGTCGTGGAACGTTATGGTTGCGGGCTATGCTCAGAAAGGGTTTCTAGAGGAAGCTCGGTTCTTGCTGGAGCAGCTTCCACAGGGCGATGCAACGTCGTGGAACACCATGTTTGATGCATATGCCTTGAATGGGCAATGCTCAAAGGCGCTGGAGCTCTTTCCACTCATGAACTTGGAAGGAGTTGTGGCCAACGAGGTGAGCTTTGTTAGTATTCTCGCCGCTTGCAGCCACTTGGGACTTGTCAAGGAAGGATGGCACCACTTCACTTGCATGACCGACGATGTGGGACTATCGCCCACTCGCGAGCACTACCTTTGTATGGTGGACATGCTCGCTCGCTCCGGGCGGCTTTGGGACGCGGAGAACTTGATAGGAACAATGCCATTCCCTCCTGATGGTGTGGCCTGGGGGACTTTGCTAGCGGCTTGCCGAAACAATGTCGATGTGGAGCGCGGAGCACGAGCAGCCGAGGAGGCACTCCAGCACGAGTACGACGTCTCCGGCCCCTACATGCTACTCTGCAGCATGCAGGCGGTAGCGGCTCACTGCACAGGCTTTGAGACAAGGGCTCATCGGCAAACTGGCTTAGTTTATCATGAGTTAGAGAGCTCGAGCTTTTACAACGAAGAACGATCAAGCACGAGAGTTACGAGCGTTCGATCATGACGACGACGAGGAGCTCAGCCCCTGCAAGCAATTGAAGTTGAAGCTGTATGCCTCGTAGCGCATGTAGCACACGTCGGTGCTCGTCTTCATGCACAGCCTAGCTCCCTTGGAGAGGGGCGCTGCTCGATCGAGATTCGCCTTGATAGTCTGCAAGCATCCCTTGCAGTTACTGCCTTTGATGCAGAGGGCGAAGCCACTGACAGTGTTGGGCGACTGGCCGTGGCTAAACTCCGAAGAGACAGCCTGGGGAGCATGATCCAGCAGGACTTGATACACATCTAGCCAGTTCTGCTGGAACGGACTTCCCAAGCTCGTGTTACCTGTGTTGTAGTACATGAGGTTTGTTCCAATGTCGTCGGGACAACCGTCGGAGGCGTCTCCGAAGCTCATGGCGTGGATCAGCAGCAAGATGATGGCGAGGAGAGTCATCCTGACCAGATTTTACTAAGTACCACTTACTCGCTCGCTCTTCACAACGAAACTAGGCGAGCTTTATATCCACAAGGAAGCTTGACTTAGTCCCAAGTTGGAGCGAGCACCACTGAAAATGACTCGATGCAATAGCTTAATGCAAGCACATCCTTTTCTCCATGGCTAGAATCGTGCTTCTCATTCAGGTAGTTAGCAGTGGAATCGTGAAAAGAGCAAGCCTCGGATCGGAAACTTTTCGACTAGAGGTCCACCGTGACGCTGGGACTGTCCGGCTTGATCCATTCCACTTCGAGGTAGGCCAGTGCCTTGTCAACTGGGCAGGCATATGGCGGCAAGCAACGACGATACGGCACTGTCTCGGCCTTGTTCGTCATCCCGCATTTCATGGAAGAATTGAGCTCCATTGTCGGCTCTAGCCAGACACCAACGAACTCCGTGTAACCAAAATCTGCCGGGCATCAGCCATACAAACACACTTCGTGAGCGCTTCGATGATCCTGGAGCGGCAGACACGAGCGTGGTGGAGGGATATGAGAGACGAAGAATCCATGACAAGTTTGCCGCCCGTGATAGCGGCAACGAATGCGGCGGACACGACGCCAAATCCGTGCATGCCTGGAGGCTCGTCACCTTTCTCTTCCTCTTTGGATTGTTCGAGTAAATCGTCACGCTGGGACTCGATTGAAACTTGCCAAGAACACGAACTTACTTTTCTCCTAGTTCCGCCTGTGCTTGCGACTGAGATCGAGCGCCAGTGGCCTTCCAATGCTCCGGCGCATCCACAGGCACGCCCTGGGCGACGGATCCGAAGCCCCCAACGAATCCAATCGCTTGAGCGTCAAGGCGGCCGCTTTCTTGACACACACATCCACCGCCACGGGCCGTAGGTGTTGCTCTTCGTGATATGATCGATCCTGCTCGTCGCCGTGATGGCGACGATCCGGTGCCAAATTGCTGGAATTGCTAGCGGCAGCCAGCGCCTGGCACACCTCGATTGCGAGCTGGCGGTGTTGGGCGATAACATCCGCGGCAGCAGTGGTACCGGTGGATCCCCTGCCGGTGGGACTGTTACTCCTTGAATCCGAGTGCTCCTCGTGATCTTCCTCCTCGGATTCCTCCTCCTTGGCTGCTGCAACTTGTTCTCGATCGTGATTTCCATCTTGGTCTTCTTTATCTTGGTGACTTGCAGCAACTTCGGAGCTCACAGGCGGAGGATCCTCTTCATGAATAGAATCCCTGGCAAAGTCCGTTAGATCGATCTCATAGCTGGTGTCTGGATCTTGGTCCTTGCAAGTGCTCGTCACCACAGATTCCTGGACTGCCCGCACGGCGGCATCAAACAGCTCGCCCCCTTTCCTACTCGAGTTGGATCTGGCGAAGCGAGCAGGGGATGCCAAGGGCGACGAGATGGACGACCTCTTGCTCTTGCTGCGCAGCAGCAATCCACCAGAGCTCCGGCCATTGCAGTAGATGGAAGAAGGGGCCGGCTGCGTTGCGGGTAGTGCTTTGCTGTTCTTGAGCTTCTTCTTCTTCTTGGAGGAGGAGGAAGACGATGATCTCACCTTTACCTGTCCAATGCAAGTCACCTGTGGAGACGTTGGTTCGCTGTAGCTCCCTCGAGCAGAATCCGCCGGAACTCTAGAGAAAGTTGGCCCGCCTTTGGTACTGCCGCATCTCATGCTCCCTCCGCCGCCACCGCCGCCACCTCCTCCTCCGGATGCCACCATCATCATCTCCGCCACAGCGGCAGCACCATGGCCGGGATGATCCGCGAGAACCAACTTGGGAATGAGGCCCAGCGAGCTCCTCGTCTTGCTACTCCGGCTCCCGGGGAAGCAACCCAGGAAGTGGTGGCCAAAGTAGCTCCGCTTGCTGGGCGCGGCATACCTGGTGCTCGACCCACCGTTTCGGATGCTTCCCTGCCTCTCCATCATCATCATCCCGCTGCCATTCATCGCCTTGGAGCTCAGCCCCCGCTGCTGCTGCTGCTGGCCGCCACTGCTGTAAGTGAGCGTTTCACACATGACCCGCGAGTAGTCCCGGCTAGACGATTTCTTGAGCACAATATGTGGATCATGGTCGCTGTGATTCACGGCCTCTTCGTCCCCTCCGCCTTCGGATGCTCCGCCTGACGATCCTGCCGCCATGATAGCTTGTGTGAGTGACGGCTTCTCCGGCTTCTTGGGCAATGCGAGGGGGAGAGAGATAGAATCCAATGCTAGCTAGGATAGGATCTACACCTCTCCAGCCTCCAGGCCTTCCTTCCAGCTATAGCTACTTAGCTATCTAACAAGTGAGTGATAGACTCCTCCTCTCTCTCTCTCTCATTCTCAGCTCACACTCACACTAAAGCATGCTTGGCCTCGTTGTTTTTGCTCGCTCATCACTGATCAGGGCTTTCATCGTCCGAGTTAGTTGGAGCCAGTTCATAAACAGGCATCTCTCTACCTAAAAAACACTCGCTCTCGATCTCGATCGACGCCATCACTAAACAATTGGTAACCAGGCGTCGGGGATTGAGTAGGACATTAGATATTGATATTTCTATCTCTCCTCCATGTTGATGGTGGGGTGGAAGGAATTAGCGGCGAGGTTTGCTCAGGGAAAATCCCCCCGGCCACCTCCATCTCCATCCAAACACCAAAAAGCAAACAAGCGCAAACAAGGCACACAGCAGTGATCTTGTTTTGTCAGGCCAGGGGACCGACGTTGACACGCTGCATACACCCCCCTGTAGCCATATACAATACAATACAATATACACCTGTGTAAATATGTGTATAAAAAAGGTGACTGACTGCTCCTGGGCTTCGCTTTTGCTCTCGGTCCAACGATCGATTCCCTCCACCAGCAAAGAAATGCCATGCATGCCGGCCTTGTGGACAAGTTTGGCAGCCCAGCAACACGATCACACGGGTTAGGGAAGCCAGACTTGACCGGGGAAAAGGTGGCGCAACTCCTTCAAGTTGGTGGCCTTGGCCTTCGGTCAAATCATTCGCGTTTCGGAGGAAGGGATTTGAAGAGAAAGAATATCAAATGCTGTGCCATGCTGGTGTTTGTCCAATGGTGGCGTACGCATGAGCGTAAATAATGTGGGTGGTGGTCAGACCCCGGCCTGGATGCGATCATGCGATGCGATGCCATGAGAAATTGTTTTGGACGTACAAGAAGAAACAAACAAACGAGAGGAGCTCTGCCAGATTTTACTTCACATAACATGGCCAGCTCAGTCTAAGCAGCGACTTTGACACGGTCTTCCACGCTTCGACCTCGAATATTTTCAAAACTTCAAATAAACCCCGCGAAGATAACGCTGTTCTTGATTGTCAAAGAGAGAAAGTGATCCAATCCATCGCTACTCCCTCTCGATCTCCCTGCCAGATCAACTCGGACAGCAGCGAATACACCGCGGTGTCCTCGTCGTCGAGCTCCACCACACGCGCCGCCGCGCGGCCGCCGCGATCGCTGTCACCGTGGTTCCTGCAAGCTCCCAGCAAGCTCCTCCATGAGACCGCATCAGGAGGCACCGGCATGGCGGCGATCACCCCCTCCGCCGCCGCCAGTTCCCCCGTCCGGCCCAGCAGATCCACGATGCAATTGTAGTGTCCCCTCGCGGGGCGGAGGTCCGAGTACTCGTTCATCAGTCGCAAGTAGCCGCAGGCCTCGGACACAACTCCGATGTGAGCACACGCGGCCAAGATGGACGTGAAGCTCGCCTCGTCCGGAACCATGCCCTCAAGATTCATGACGTGGAAGAGCGCCAGCGCCTCTCTGCAGCCCCAGACGTTTCGGGCATACGCCTCGAGGACGACGTTCCATGACACGAGGTTCTTCCACGGCATGGCCTCGAACGCTTGCCTCGCCTCGGAAAGGATCCCGTGGTGGGCATACGCCGACACCATGCCCGTCCACGAGATGACGGTCCTCCACGGCATGAGCAGGAACGTTCTCTTAGCCTCTTCCAGGAGCTTGCTCTGGGCGTAGATCATGAGCAGCGCCGTCCACGACACCACATCCCGCTCAGGCATTCCGTGGAATGTGTCCACTGCCTCGCTCAGTTGCCTGCGCTCGGCGTACGCTTGTAAGATCACGTTGCACGAAGGGACGCTCCACTTGGGGATTCTTGAAAAGGCCTGGATTCCCAGCTCCAGTTCCTCGTTCTGGGTATACGCCGCCACCACCGCATTCCACGAGACGATGTTCTTCTCGGGCATCTCGTCAAACACGAGCTTCATCTCCTGGGTATGCCCCTTTTGGGCATACGCCGTCAGCATTGCGGTCCACGCCACTACGTCCTTGTAGGCCATGCTGTCAAACGCCGTCTTGGCCTTGTCCAGATGCCCGTTCAGGGCATACGCGTGGAACATGGCGTTTGTGAGCGATCGCTCCTGCCGGGCGGACGCAAATGCCAGCTCCGCCCGTCTCACGTCCCCGCACTCGCCGTAGGCCTGTATCATCACCTGCCACGTACGCCAGTCCCGCTGGGGCATCCGCCACGCGACCCCCATTGACCGCTCGTATTGACCGTTGACGGCATAGCCGTGGATGAGCGCGTTCCATGTCACCACATTTCGCTGCGGCATGGCGTCAAACATGGCCTTCGCCTCGTCAAGCCGGTCCTCCTCCACGTATGCCGCCAGCAGGGACGTCCATGAGACCACGTCCCACTCGGGCGCCAGGTGGAACGCCACGCTGGCCTCGTCAAGATGACCAAACTGGGCAAGCCCGTGCATGATAACGTTCCACGACTGGATGTTCCTCTCGGGCATGACTTGGAAGAGCCACGAAGCCTCGTCCACGAGGCCAGCGTTAGCTTTTGCCGACACAAGGCAATTCCAGGCGCTTAGATCCCACTGCGGGGTCTTGTGAAAGATCTCTGTAGCCTTCTCCAAATGCCCATGTTGGTGAAATGCGGTAACCATGGTATTCCACGAGATAACGTCCCTCTCCGGCATACCCTGGAAGCTCGCCAGCGCTTCCCCCAGATGTCTGTTCTGTGCAAGGAGATGGATCATCGTGTTCCACGCACAGACGCTTGGGTTGTCTAGCTGCTGGAAGAGCGAGCGCGCATCGTCGACGCTGCCGCATCGCCCATACATGTGGAGAAGGAGATTGCTCAGCTGCTTGTCCTGCGCAAACCGGCTGGTGAGAATTTGCTCGTGAATTCGTCTTCCCTCCGCGAGATCCCTGGTTCGCGTGCATGATCTCACAGATCCCACCAGGCACATCCATTCCTTCTTGGTCGCTGACTCAGCCGCGAGCCATCGTAGCATGAATCACTCCTTCCTCTGTGATCGATCGCTCACTAGCCACATTGGCTGGAGATCGTCGAGAGCAGCAAATAGTGAGATGGGTTACTGGAATCTATCTCCATGGCACGCCCAGCGGCAAATCTCGCCCTCTCCATGTCCTGGTGGATCCGGCAAGCCCCCAAGAGAGCTCCCCACGCTATGGTGCTCGGGGAGATGGGCATGCTCGTCACTATCTCCTCGGCCAGCTCCATCTTGCCGGCTCGCCCAAGCATATCGATCACGCAAGAGTAGTGTTCCTTGGATGGAACCACGCGAAAGTCATCCACCATCGACACGAAAACCTGGCGAGCTCGGCTCATCGATCCGACATGACTACAAGCGGACAAGACCGTCATCAGCGTGATCTCGTCGGGTGGAGCGCCCTCCAAGATCATTGTCTGGAACGCATCCAGAGCCTCGGTGTGGAATCCATTCGAGTCGTAGGCCTTGATCATCGCGTTCCACGACACGGCATTCCTCTCGGGCATCTCCTCGAAAAGACTCCTCGCCTCGTCCATATACCCCTTTTGGGCATACACGGAAACAATGGCCGTCCACGTTATCACACTCCTCTCCGGCATCTCCTCAAAGAGAGCTCGAGCTCGATCCAAATGCCCATTCTGGGCATTTCCCACAATCACCACCGTGACCGTCACCGTGCTCCACTCGGGCATTCGCTGGAATCCAGCCTCGGCCTCCTGGAGCCGATCGTTCTGCGAGAGCGCTGCGATTACCGCAGTCCAGGAGACGCCATCTCGCTCCTCGGCTGCATCAAAGAGCTCCTTGGCTTGCTGCGGGCATTCAAACCGAGCGTAAGCGGAGATCATCGTGTTCCAAGACAGGAGCGCGTTGCTGGGCAATCGATCAAACACGAGCTTCGTCTCGGCGAGCTCCCCGGCCTGGGACAAGGAGTGGAGTAGCCACGTCCAGTGGCTCCTCCCGCGCTCGGGCATGGAATCAAAAACTTGCCTGGCTCTGGCAGTGTCGGATCTCCTCACAAACGCATTGAAGAGCGCGTTCCAAGTCGCCACCCTGTGCTGTGGCATCCGCTGGAACATGAGCTCCGCTTGATCCGCGTGACCGGCCTCGGCGTGAGCTTGCATCATGCACGTCCACGACACCACGTCCCTGTGAGGCATCGAATCGAACAAGCTCTTGCAGTGGGCTTCGTGGTGCTCTTGGCCATCGCTGCTGATGTTCTTGGCATCTGCTGCGAGGAGAGAATTCAGCGTCACCAGGTTCATAGCCGGCATTCGATCGTATAGCATCTTGGCCTCGTCGGTCTGCCCGGCTTCGACGTAAGCTTGCATCATCGCGTTCCAAGACAAGAGGTCGCGCTTGGCCATCCTCTCGAAAAAGAGGCTCTCGGCCTCTCTCACCATGGCACCTGTGTGAGCGTACGCTGCGATCATTCCATTCCACGAGGAAAGATCTTTCACTGGCGCTTTCTGGAACAGGCTCTCGGCTTCCTCGATCATCCCATTCTGCGCGTAGGCCTGGATCATGGCGTTCCACGACACAACGTCCCGGTAGGGGATCTTGAGGAAGAAACTCTCGGCGCCCTCGACGCAACCATCGTTAGCAAAGGCCGCGATCATCGTCCCCCACGAGACCTCGGTCCGGCAGGGCATGCTGTCGAACCCGGCCTTTGCTCCCTCGGGATCGCCCTTGAAAGCGTGAGCGGCCAACAACACATTCCACGACACCACGCTGCGATCAAGCATAGCATCGAAGATCTCTTTGGCCTTGTCGTAATGCTCACTGTGAACGTAAGCAGTCATCATAGTCGTGCTTGCAATCGGGCTCCAAACTGGGATCTTCTCAAACACTTCGCGAGCGTTGTGCACAAGCCCGTTCTGGGCAAATGCTTGTATCATCCCGTTCCACGACACAATATTCCTCTCCAACGAAGAATCAAACATTCTCTTTGAAGTATTAACTTCTCCATTCGATGCATACGCAGATATCATAGCATTGCACGACACAAAATTCCACTGAGGTGTTAGAAAGAAAGCTCTTTCAGAAAATTCCAAATGCCCACCTTGGGCAACTGCTGCTATAATGGCATTCCAAGAAACCACGTCTCGCACGGGCATCCGATCGAAAATCTTCTGCACCTCCTGGACGGCGCCATTGTCGGCGTAGGCTTGGATCATGATATTCCAGGAGAAGACATTGGGCTCCTGGGTCGCTGCAAACACGGCCTCGGCATCTTGAGGGCGGCCGCATTTTCCATACATCTGGACGAGGAGATTGCGGAGGAAAGTGTTGTGGGCGTGATCGCTGGCTTGGATCTGAGCGTGGATGCGCTTTCCCTCTGCCAAATCCTTGGCCGCCGCGCAATGCTTGAGGCTCCTGGCAAAAAGATCTTGCTGTTGCTTCCGCTGCAACAAAGCTAGGCTCATATCCTTCCCGGGCCATGGGCGCGGCTACAGGTGTGCCGTGGGACGTCGCAGACCCATGGCGCGATCAACACACCGTGTGCGCGGGAATAAAGGCCATAATTTGAAAAGGGGCCCTAGGGTTCGTGGTCAGTGGCGATGGCGAAAGACGTGGGAATTCTCGCAATGGAGGTCTACTTTCCCGGCGTGTGCGTCAACCAGGTACTGTGATCTTTCATGTGGATCCATGATCGATGATTGACGATCGATCGAGCGATCGCTTTTCAGGTAGACTTGGCGAGGTTTGACAAAGTGCCGCCAAAGTACTACACCGAAGGCTTGGGACAGGAGCGCCTGGCTTTCTGCGAGGACACCGAAGATGTGATCTCCATGAGGTGCTACGATCGCACAAGTTCTCTCAGGGAACGCAAGCCTCTTCATTAGAATTCTCGTTCTAAGTTTGTTTGATAGCTTGACAGTGGTCAAATCGCTCTTGGAGAATTATAACATATCTCCTTCAAGCATTGGACGGCTCGAGGTTGGAAGCGAGACCGTGATTGACAAGAGCAAGTCCATCAAAAGCTACCTCATGCCTTTGTTCGAGGTGAGATGAGACTGAGATCGTCATTCATCTTTGGTCTATGTAACGTTGGTTAAAAACCTGGACAGGAGAACAGTGGCATTGAAGGCGTTGACTCCACCAATGCTTGCTATGGAGGAACCGCAGCGCTCTTCAACTGTGTCAACTGGATCGAAAGTCGCTCATGGGACGGAAGGCTTGCGATCGTTGTAGCCGCAGACATTGCGGTAAGTTTTCGATCATGGAGCTAAACCGGTGACCAGCACGTCAATTGCAGGTTTATGCTGAAGGCACTGCTCGTCCCAGCGGCGGTGCTGGTGCGGTTGCCATGCTTGTAGGACCGAACGCGCCGCTTGTTCTCGAACGAAGCTATACCGGAACGTACATGGCTCACGTCTATGATTTCTACAAGCCTGACTTAAGCAGTGAATATCCGGTACATTGCTACATCTCCGTCGTTTTCCTTTTTATTTTCTCACTTTGAATTGTGCTGTCGTCCAGGTGGTCGACTCCAAACTATCCCAAAAGTGCTACCTCAAGGCATTAGATGTGTGCTACAAGAGATACTGTGAAAGGTGTGAATCGTGTTTCGTTATCGCGCATGCTTCTTAAACATGGATGCAGATACGAGAGCATCGAGGCGAGACCGTTCACTGTCCAGGAAGCAGACTTTCTAGTCTTCCATGCACCTTTTAACAAGGTTTGGATCCTTTGGCGATTTCCGATGTATTCATTTAGTCTATTCCAGCTCGTTCGGAGAAGTTTTGAGCGGCTGCTGTGGAATGACTACCAGCGGGACTGCAGGTATCTCTTTACAAAACCTTGTTCTTGACTATGGCGTATTCACCGTAGGACCTTGTGTACAGTTCTCTGGGAGAAGATGGAGAAAAACTCAAACCATTTCAAGGATTGACGGCAGACAGCATCGTCAGCAATGCAAGTCTCAAAGAGGTGAATTACAAATCTGTGGAGTTTTTTTCTCACGGGCCGAATGTCTCTTACAGGTCATGAAAGCTGTAGCGGAGCCTGGATATGATGCAAAGGTTTCCCCTTCGACGCTGATTCCGAGACGAGTCGGCAATACGTATTGCGCATCACTGTATGCTGGCCTAGCTTCCCTGGTCCACAACAAGGCCAGCTTACTCGACGATGGCCAAAGCATTCTCATGTTCTCGTATGGAAGCGGGCTGGCATCGTCTCTCTTTTCCATCCGCGTCAGAAGAGTGGAAGGTGTTCACAGCTTGGAGAACGTGGCCAAGACAATGGCAATCTCAGAGAAACTCGATTCTTGTGTTGCGGTACGCTGTCTTTCTTCGTTCTTATCACATATAAATTGTAATTTATGTTCGGCACGGCAGGTTTCTCCAGAAAAGTTTGTGGAGACGATGAAGATAATGGAGAGCCGATATGGTTCCAAAGACTTCGTCCCAATGGGTGATTTGGCAACTGTTAGGCCGGGAGCATTCTACTTGGCTGGAGTAGACTCTCTATATCGCAGGACCTACGAAAGACGAGCTCTAACTTGAGTTAGAACTTCGAAGAGATTTTGTCACCGAAAACTTCGTATTAAAAGATCTCAAAAATGGTAGTCCGATAAAACCAGTAACGAGGATTCTCACGCTCGAATTCTCATCTGTTCTAGCCGGATCACGACGCCATAAAAAAATCGTGTCAAACATGTCAACGAGCCCGTTGCGGACGTATGCTTGAATAGTCCCATTCCACATACGATTTTCCGTTCCAACACCCAAGACAAGGACGGATTCCTGGCAGCTAGCGTCCCCGTAGAATCCATGGGAAGCGTTTTCATACTCGATGAGCTTCACGGCATTGCCAGCGTCTTGGCAGAGATCATTTGTGACACGACACCAAGTTCCATTTCGGTGTCAAAGAAATAACCCGCTCTTAAGAACACAAATGCCCCTATTGGGCAGCTGCTGCAACGATAGCGTTTCAAGAGACCACGTCTCGCACGGGCATTCGATTATACACCGGGAATGTCTGGAGACATACAGAAAACACGCCCTCGGCGACAAGCACTACTGGCGACGTTAAGGCGGTTCACTCCTCAGGCATTCTAGCTCAGTCGTCCCTCCAGGCTTGGGATCACTTGATCCAGACTCGGCGTTGCCTGTGCAATCAGGGCAAGAATCGCCACTAGAAACACAAAACACTATGTGAGATCTGGTAGGAATTGCAGGGATCATGTAACAGCTTTAAAAGGCCAACAGGAAACATGCGACATCAGTCTGTCTCGTCCCCTGGCATGCCTGGAGTATATTCTCCTGCATATTGGCGGGAAGATTTCCACCAATACTCTGCAACACTAGAATTCGTTGCAATGTTTAGGACAAACCTTAACAAGAATACAAATGCTCGCTCTACAAAGATGGCGCCCCTGGTAGTATGCTACATTGGGCTCGCGATTTATAGCAAACCAGCCCTGGGCAGTGTTGAGGGCACTTGCCAAAGGAGCTGGCGAATCCTTGGCCGCCGCGCAACGCCTGTCAAAAAGATCTTCCTGTTAAAGTATCGCATATCCTGTCATGGTCATCGTTGTCACGAAACCAGAGGAGGAGATCCGGGCCATCCGATCCCGATCTAACGGCTCTAACTGACTGCTTCTTCATTTACAAAATTGTACAAGCCACTCCTTTGTCTCTGTAACAAAAGATAGCGCTCCTTTTCCACGCCAAGCGAGCGAGCGAGCTAGCTAGCTGCCTATAGCCTCTACCTAGAACTGGCACGACGTTCCCAGTCTCATCTGCTGTAGCCGGATCATCGCGCTCCCCTTCTCCGCGTTGTGTCGCTCCAAAACTTGGCCACAAACGCTGTGGAAGCATCGCATGAAAGCGTTCCATTCCCTGTCGCACAGGCTCGACAGGGCCAAGGACGTCTCCGCCGGCCGGGCAGTGCTGCGCTTGTGCGCGGACGCCGATGCAAACCCCTTGGAGGAGGCTCGCTTCTTCTTGGCTTTCTTCTTCTTAAAGTTCATTCGACCGATGCTGCTGCTGGGTGTGGTGACGCAGCTGGAGCAGCAGCCTCTGGATCGATCCAGGCCGAGATCGAGATCGTCATCGTCATCGTCCTCACCATCGCCATCGTCTTCCTCCTCCTCCTCTCTCACTGGCTGCATCTCGGACACCGACCGGAAGAGCTGCTTCTTCACTGGCGAAGTTCGTGGCGAGTTCTTCGCGTCGCTAGCAGCTCGCGATGGAGAGATTAGCTGCAACTGCTGCTGCTGCTGCTCGTCCATGTCGATCTCAAACACCTGTTCCTCGTCGTCGTCATCTTCTTCATGTCCGCCACCCTTCTCGTTCTCGGACTCGTCCGTCACCAATTGCGATCCGGCTAGCGCTGACTCCTGTGCCGCCTGATCTCTGGCCACTGTACACATCTTCTCCAGCTCGCTGCTGCACGTCTCGCCACTGTCGTCCAGCTCCCTGCTCATCATCGACCCGACTTCCGCCAGGCACAGCCCGGCCTCGGCCGCTCGCTTCAGGAAGCTCGTGCACAGGATCATCATCCGGATGCACGCTTCCTTGAGCATGGGGAGCTGCTTCCTCAGCATGTCCGCGTCCTTGGCCGGATCCAACACCCGGATGTAGTCGAGCTCCTCCTCGGAGAACGGGAAGGAAGCCTGCGGCCAATGCAGCCACTCAAAGTATGGATCTTCGATGCTCTCCGGGAGGCATAGGCCGTGATCGATTGGGATGAGCTCCACCGAGTTACACATGTTGGTGGTGGCCGCGGCGGCGGTGTTGTGGCGGACGAGGATGTTCCCGGCATGGCGATCCGTGTTGAAGAGCCGGACGTCGAGGATTCCCACGCGGTGGACTGCCGAGGCCGGGAAGCGCGAGCAGCCGCATTCGCTGGCCTCGTAGTCGTGCTCCACGAACTCCTGGAACGATCCAATCTTGGCGAGCTTGCTCCCGGACCGACTCCACGCCGAGTTGATGTGGAAGATGGGATGCACGGCCTTGACAAGAACAGTGGCCGGCACCTGGGCGAAGTGGCCGTGATCCAGGAGATACGCGGCCACCTCGCGAATGCCAGTCTCGCCGACGCGGATGGATCGACTGAGCCCCGCCTGTCCGAGGCGGCGGCCCACGAATCCTCGCGGATTGTTGGGCGCCAGTGGCTCCTCGTCCGCTGGCTTGACGATGGCGATCTTCTTGCCGTGGCGGTCTCGGAAGTAGTAGGCTCCTCCCAGTCCTCCCTGCGCTGGGAGCGGCTCCACGCCACGCTCGATCCCGGCGCAGCTCTCCTGGATGAGGCGCTTGATCCTGGCGCAGCAGCTCCATCCGCCCACGATCTCGAACGGCCCGCGGCTGTCCTCCTCCTCCTCCTCCCCCCCGAGAAAGATTGCCGCATTGCTCTCTTTCTTGGACGGGCAGAGGCACGGCGTGGAGAAGCTCCGGTGGATGGTGCTGCTGCGCGCCAGCAGCACGGGCGAGTCGCAGCGCAGCTCGCTCACGTCGTCCTCGAGGACGTGATCCCCGAAAGAAAGATCGCTGTTCTCCGTGGAGATGCGCAGCACCGCCTGGATCTTCTTCTTGATCGACTGGACCTTGTCGCTGCGGTGGACCTCCATCCCCAGCACGCTGCCGTTGTCCGTCTGGACAAAGATCCGCCGCCTCCATCCCTGCTGCTTCTTCCACTGCTGCTTACCTTGCCCATCGCCCCCGCCGCCGCCGCCCCCTCCATGCAGCAGCCGCGCCTCTTGCTCGAGCTCGGGCATCGCCATAGCCAGGGATGGAGCTTCCGGCGGCATTCTCGATCGATCTCTCCGCGCCGGGAGCTGGGAGGCGAGGGAGGAGGATTGAAAGAGAGAAACAAGAAGAACGCTCTCCTCCGCCTCTCTCTTTCTCTCTCTCTCTCCTTTTCTTTCTCGTCCTCCTCTCTGGAGCGTAGCAGAGGTAGGTTGGCTGGCTGCGTTGGCCGGTCGGGGGTTCGAGTCTCGCCGGCTACGCCCGACGTTAGAGCTGCCGCCATGCATCTCGGGATCGATTCCTCTCCCACTCGCCAAGGCTTTCTTCTCTCTTTGTTTGCATGAGAGAGAGAACGAATTTTGGATGAGGAGGATGGGTCCAATGTCGCTGTCACCATGACGACAAAGTACGCTCTTACGATGTGATTGCATTTGCCAATTTTTTTGTATGGTGCATTGGTCCATCTGTCTAAATGCCAAAGTGCCCTCCCTCATCTTTAGGAAAGGGGGAATATCTTTCGAATTACTACCGGGTCAAACCTTCTAACTGGCGGGGAGGCGTTCGATTCCCGCGACTGGCAATTCTCAAGAAGCTTGGCTATGGCGTTTGCCCTCGCAGCGTCTCCTCTTCCCTCCAGGCCCGGCAGTCTGCCGCGGCTGAGGAGAAATCGCAATCTCGTCGTGGTGCCAGTGCGATGTCGGTCGCAATTGCAATCGCAGCATCGCCGCCTGGTGCTGCGGCTGTGCGCCACCACAGAGACGAAAGAAGCTGAGAAAGAAGAAGAGGACGCGCTCGCTGCTGATGAATCCGGAGGAGCCAGTGGCCGCATTGGCGATGGCAATGGAGATTCCGGCGATGGCGGCGGGGATGGATTGAGGTGGCTGTCCAATGCGCCAGTGTATGTTCTATGGGCGGGATTGATTGGGTACGCTTTCACCATGGCTCCAAACCAAACACCGGTAAGAGGATAGCTTAGAGGATTGGAGTTTTTCTTCCTTTCTCGATGGTTTCCAGTTCCACCACCAATTCCATTCAGTACAGGGATCAATTGTTCGTGGAGAAGCTGCTGCTCTTGCGAGGCGACGAAGGTTTCTCGATCAACCCGGTGCTTGTCACAGTCTGGTTTAGCATGGGCCTTCTTCCACTCATCTATGCGATGCTTCTCATCCCCACTGGAAGAAGGTAGGTACTTGAAGTTTCGATTTGGAAGAACAAAGCTCACGAAACTTTGCCACTTCCAGTGAGAAAGGTGGCGTTCCTGTGTGGCCGTTTTCTCTCGTTTCTTTCTTCACGGGGATTTTTGCCTTGTTGCCGTACTTTGGGCTGTGGAATCCACCGCCACCCCGCGTAACCAAGCAAGAGCTCAGCACCTGGCCTCTCGTGGTGCTGGAATCAAAAATCTTGTCTTTTGTAAGTTTGTCTCGATTTCTTCCTCAACTCTTAGTGTGATTTTGATTTTTTTTTTCCTTCTCGATCGATGTGTATCCAGTTTGTAGCCGCTTGCGCGCTTGGACTGGCCGCGAAAGCAGCGCTTTCCAACAGTGAGAGCTGGAGTCAGTACTTAGGATTTTTCCGAGAGAGCCGATTTGTAAGGATTTCAAGTTGCCGAGTTTGGCGTGACTTGGATCACCGGTTTTTTGTGCAGATTCACGTGATGAGCATCGACTTTGTCTTGCTTAATCTGCTCGTGGTCTTCTGGGTGTTCAACGATATCACGTTTCGGAGGTAACTCGAGTCGAGTCGAGCTTGTGAGCACTGATAGAATCTTCATCTTCATTGGTGCTTTTCCAGGTCCAATAACTCATGGCTGATTCCAGTGTCCATCATTCCACTCGTTGGTCCTGCATTATATCTCCTCTTGAGACCCGGCTTGCCGCCTCAAATGGTCGACGAGTAATGTTTTGTATCCAGGCAATCAATCTTTTTCTGGTCGGTCGAGATTTCCGGGAATTCGTTGGGCTTGCCGCTTTTGCATTCGTTGTCGGCACTGTCATGTCAAAGTGCACATCTTCAATTCCCAATCAAGCTTCGAGTTGATCGCGTCCACGATCACGGGACACTTGCAGCTCACACGTATTGGTTTTGGTCTTTTGCTTTGCTTCAAGACAAACTTGGTTACCTCTGCTCTCGTCAATCCGAAGTTCCTGCAATGAGTTTCGATCAAATTTTACTCCCAGTTGAAAGTTCTGAGATCGTGCCGTGATCTCTGGCATATGGCCCTCCTGGGAACAAACTTTCTCATCTTTCGTAAGTGCTATGACAGGGTCCACCTAGAGGAAATTTTTCAAGGGGGAGAATTTTTAACCTCTTGTTCCAGAATCTATAATTTATAAATTATTCCCATGGTCTCAATAAGGAGTTTGAAGAGTAAATGTTTTATAACAGCTTATAAAAAATCTATAGTGTCCATTAACTTTCTCTTCTTTTTCGGATACCAGCGTGGGCACTCCACACTGACGAAGCTCTTCACTAGAGAACCCCCGCAGTTCATCGATTTCATCGATTCTCTCCTTCAGTAAAACTTCCATCGCTTTGTCTACCAGTTCACCTTTTCCTCGCGACACCAGGAAATCCTGACCGTCCGTTTGTCATTTGTATACTATAAGTCCCGAAGAACCCTAATTCCTTTTACGTAGCGCAATGAAGCAACTTGTGGGCAGGGAGAGGGAGCTGCGCGACTTGCTAGGCTACGTGGAACGGCGCATAGATAAGATTGTGCTTCTGCAGGGGCCGGAGCTCTCCGGCAAGACGGCTCTTCTGCGGGAGCTTCGGGCTGTCATGGCTTCCAAGTATGGCAGAACGATCCCCGTCTACCACCTCGATCTCACTTGTTTCAGGATGACGGATGTTCTCGAGTGGATCCAAGGTACCGACAATTTTCTCATGGAAGATTCCAAAGACTTGACAATCCTAGAGGTGATAGAGGAGATACTAGCTAGTGAGCATCAGCTCCAGCCAGTTTTTATCATCGACCAGGCTGAAAGGATTCCCGAGATCTTTCCACAGCCACGGGCACTGATAGAAGTCCTTGCGAAGATTGCACGGGAGAGGAGAGGGGTGGTGATCCTGGCGAGTCTAGACGACTCTTTGCGGGAGGATTGGCATGACCAAGTTCTTCCCTTTCACTTGGGATACTTCAGCGAGAAGGCCGCTAGGGCGTTTCTTCGTAAGCGAAGGGCAGCGGAGGACAGGAGACCGTGGTGGCAGCGGTGGTGGTCGAGGAGAGATCTAGTTAGTGACGAGGAATGGCGCGAGATATACCCCGTTTGTGGTGGCTGCCCCAGGTTGCTTGGATTTTGCGTCTCCCCATACCCGAATCTTAGCGCAATAGTTGGCTCCGTGGTTGGGGGCGTACACACCGGACTGGAAGGCAGGGATGGCGAGTAAGTGATAGATATCTTGTTTCTAAGAAGTGCTTGGATCTAATCATTTGTGTTTTTGATGGTGATCATCTAGGTGGGAGGGGGACAAGTACCGAAGGGTGGCGGAGCTGCTCGTGGAGAACGAAGGGAGCTTGGAGTGGTCTGTTGTTCTGGACAAGGTGTTTGGCAAGGATGTGAGCGAGGGGAGCTCTCAGCTCCGGGCCATGGCTGCTCGCAACATGATAAACGTCGAGTACTTGCCCGAGTCCAAGACCAAAGTGGTGATGGCTGGAAGTCCTGCGTATCTTTACGCCATGAGACTCGTGCTGGAAGGGAGAGATGAGCCGGATGTCTGACAATTCCTTCGTTCTATTCTTAAGTTTGATTTGATCTGGATGAACAAAACTATTGTTATTACAAAAACAGTAGAAAGGTGGCGTTCCTGTGTGGCCCTTTTCTCTCGCGAATGCTGGGTAGCCAAGCACGAACTCAGCACCTGGGCTGCTCGTGGAGCTCGAATAAAAAATCTTGTCTCGACTGTTTTAGATCTTTGTGAACAGCACGATCGATACGCGTACGCTTTATGGACACTTGCGGGCTTGGACTGGCCGCCAAAACAGCGCTTTCCAACAGTGAGAGCACGAGCTTGTGACAAATCCGACACTTGTCCAGTAATCTCATCTCAGCTTGCATCTTTGGAGACTATTGTCCGGAAAGAGCGATCGTTGTCAACACTAGTGCGCGTCTTCAATTGCCAATTAAACTTCGACTTCGTCCACGATCACACTTGATCACGGGTATTATTCTTTTACTCTTTTCGCAAAAACTGTACTGGTTATGCCTAACTTGTGCTCTCGTCGATCCGGATTCCCTGCAACCACATCAGTCAGCCAACAAGGAGGAGAACAAGAGCTACAAACTTGAGGTGGATCGAATTTGGCTCCCAGTTCACTCAGCTTGGCATGCGCTTGAGCATAGTCCTTGAAGAACGCGTCCTGATCCTTGGCGTAGAGCTCGGCATGCTCCTGGAGATATACATTGAGATAAGTTTTTCTAATTTTCTTAAGTTGGTCTATTCTTTACCTTGAATCCTGGATCTTCGAAAAGGACTGCGTCAGTTGGCAAGACGAGAAGATCTTCGTCTCTTTTCTCCTTGATATCCTGCATACGATACAACCGGCGTTCACTACTATCCAAATTTTTTTTTCGTCCTTGGAATAAAGTCTACCTTGAAATATGAATTGTCAAATTTCAGCCATTCCACAGTCCAGGACTGGCCTCCTGGAGCTCCAGGTCCGTCTTTCTATCATGGTCTCAAGCATCAAAATGTCATCGAAGCTTCTGAAAGAACCACTTTCGTTACCGTGTATTTCGTTTCCTTTTTTCCCCAGCCACTCCGTTCTGGTCTAGATCGTCCCAAGGTATGAGCACCTGACAGGGCAACAATGTCCTTGGTATATCAAGGCGATGAGTAAAAGTCTGCTCAAGCCAGGAAAATTCTTCAAAGCGGAAAGCGCACCTTGTCATCCAGTCCCATCCTGTGAAACACTTTGCGAAGGTGCTCGGAAGGATTTGGGGGTCCGGCACCTGGAAAGAAAATTAATTCCAGGCGTCAAAGAAACGGACATCATTTGTCGAAGTCCAAGTTGGCTAGCGCTTGGAAAACTCATTCTTACTTGGAAGGTTACCCTCCTTCGGGCATTGCTCTGGGCCTACGGTATCAACTCTTCCATATCGCATTGGAATCCGGGGTCCTCCAGCCATCTGATTCCATCACCTTTAGAAGTTTAGGCCGGCTTCTTTGTTCTTTCTTGATAAGTTTACCTCTATGGCGGTGGCGCTTGCAAGCTGGAAAAGATCGGCATAGCTTACTGCGGTGAATTTCTCCTTCACGGGATTAAGCAGCTTGAGAGCATTTATGAGTCCTGCCGTAAGTTCGAAGGGATCGTTCCAAGCTTTTCGCAAGTTCCTAAAAGTTACCAGCATTCGCTCCATGTTCCAACTCGATAGGGAAGCGCAGGCTTCCATTGGCACCACCACACTTGGGCCACTCGCTGATGTTCTTGTCATACGTTCCAGCGTCGTGCCATCCCAATCTAATCTGTCGATTTGAAAGAGCTCACAAGGTTTGATCGTTGAAAAATAAAGAAAACAGTGCGAGTGTTTTTTTTGACACTTACTACTATAGGATTGCAATGCATTTTCGTGATCACTTCCTTGATCGCTTCCCTCGCTCCCACTAGCTGATCGAGCTGAGACGCGATCCTCTGGGACGATTCCACGGCGGCGGCTCCACTCCCAGACATGGCAAAAGTTCTGATCCTCCGCGAGCAGGCCTGATCGGTTGCAAACACGATCCATCGACATCGAGAAAGAGAGGAGGCAAACACTCACCGCACGGAGCGACAAACCCGATGATGAGAGCCGCCGATGAGGCGCCGCAGCAATGCTGAGCCTCGCAGTGACAGCAGGAAGAGATTTGCAGAGAAGCGCCCCGGAGAAAACGATCGACCTCGCCGACGCCATCGCCATTCTTTACTACTCCTGTTTGAGAGAAGGGACTTTTTTGCTCGAGATAGCAGAATATTCACTAAATATTCCGGCAAAGAGTTTTAAACTACACGACCGGCTAGTCCATTCAACGTTGTTTGAACGCTGACTCGTCGATGAATCCCATGGCCTCCACCGACATGTACTCCTCGTCCCTGAATCGCAGCAAGAACTGGACGAATCGATAGGCATCCTGGAAATTCGACACGGCACCCAGCGAGATTGTCACGGCCCTGAATGTGGCGAGTGGATGCGCCGACGATGATCGCTGGGAAATCGGCGCCACCAGTGGATGATTCGCGAATCCGCAAGTCCCGAGCTTGATGTTCTGCTTCTCGGCCAGGCTGCGAACAATGTGAGGCGGGAAGAGATTCCCAGTGGAATCCACGAGATTGAACACCACCATGCTCCCTCGCTCGCGCTCCTTGCTGCCGTAGACCTTGATCATGGGCCGCGAGTTCTCGCCGACGTGGTTGATCCTCTTGAGATTGGCATGCAGCCACGCTGCCAGGCATTCGACCCTCTTCCCGATCCTGTCCATGCCGATCGATTCCAGATGATCCAATCCCGTCGCTACTGCCGCCAGCGTGAGCCCATTGATCACCATTCCACCGTCCTCGCAAGCAATGTGAACTCCCGCGGCCTCCACAAACGCTGGGCTTGTCCTGGATTTGAGCTTCTTCATCACCAGAGCCTCCACATCCCGCCTGATCGCCAGGAATCCCACGCCGGGAGGATACCCCAGCGCGTGATGCAGCGAGCCCACCACGAATTCGGGCCGCTCGATCGCGACGTCCACTACTCCAGCCGCGGGGAGGGCGATCGAGACATCCAGCAGCGCGTGCCACCCCTTGGCGTGCGTTTGTTTGATCCAATCCACACCATAGCGAGTGCCGGTGAGGCCGGATTGCGCTGGAATGACGACGACGCCGCCGCCTTGGCCGATGACCAGTCTCGACGCCATCTTGTTTAGCAGCCGTTGGATCTCGCCCCGGGGAGCGGCGAGGTCCGTCGATCGCAGCCCGGCAACGCTAACTCGGGTGCCCGACCTCGCCGCGGCCGAGACGAGGTGGCGGATGGACTCGTGCGTGTCCTGGCACACGAGAATCTGGCTGCTCCTGTCCAGTGGGTAGATCTCTGCGAACAATCGGAAGCTGGCCGACACCCCAGCCGTCAAGACGAGCGTCGGGTAATCGTCCTTGGATGCGTTGAGCATGCCAAGGATCCTGTTCTGGAGGCCGACTATCCGGTTTCTTAGCCGAGAGCCGGATGGGAGAATGGATGCCGAGCAGGGAGCCTCTTCCAGAAGAAACTGCGTGTGTTCCTCCACCTGAGGAGATCCCAACGATCAGGCTATGCGCGTTCCAGCAAATGCCGTGTGAAGGCAAAATACCTGGTAGCTCGAGAAGAGTGGATTGTTGGCGTAGTCAAGGTGTACCACGCGCTGGAGGTCGAGATTGGAGTACTGCTCCTTCCTCACATTGTCCAGGGACAGGTTCTCGAAGTAGTCCTCGTAATCATCCAGGAATTGCTCCTCGGCCTCGACGTACTCGGGAAGAACAGCCGGTCCCACGTTGATCTCCTCCTCGGGCACCGACGAGGATGTCGGCCAGCTTCTCTTGGAGGCCTGATCGTTGTCATCGGACGAGGAATTGAAGGAAAGGCTCCCCAGGAACTGATCGTTGGTGGAGGCCAGAGGATCCACCGCCTGCTCGCCGCTGGAATCAAGCGGGAACAGGCTCTCGGCGTGGAAGGCACTGTACGAGTCTAGGCTCTCCGTGTCGTCCCAGTTCGCCGGCGATGATGGGCGATTCCCATTGCGAGCAGCAGGGGGCGATGATGCTGGCCGTGAATCGATCTTCTTCTGCGAGGAGAAACAAGCGAGTGAATTCCTGCGACCCAATTCAGCCTCTCACCTTGTTGCTGTGGCCGTGAGCTCCAGAATTGCGCAGCCTAGAGCTCAAGCGATTAAACATTCTTCTTGCCGCAAATCGATCTTATCCAGGGCGAGGCGAGAATTCCTTTTCTTCTCTGGTGCTCGTCTTATGGTCGCGGGGTTCACTCCTTTTTGTGCATTTGGCGGCTTGCCGTGTTGACGCCAACGAATTGGACAGAAGCGCATCCACGCCACTCAAATTTGACGGTAGCGATCGCCTAGGGTTTGTAGGGCTTTTTAGGGTTTACGAGCAGCAGCGATGGCGGAGGTCGCCCTCCCATACCGCTACGATCCACAGCCGTCGTCGCCGCAGCAGCAGCCACCCAGGCCTGGCTTGAACATCGACTGGTCGCAGGTGAATCTCGATGAGATTCAGCTCCCTCCGGGCGAGGATTTTGGAATCAAGAGGTAGGCTTTCTTGTCGAAATCGCTCCACTTAGCGGATCTCGGTTGTGGCTAGTGAGGATGAAGAGGAGGAGGAGGAGATTGTGGAGAGCGAGTCTGGTTTCGGGAGCATAATTGTCGTAGACAATCTCCCGGTGGTGGAGCCTGCCAAGTATGAGAAGCTCGAAAACGTGGTACGCAAGATTTTTGGACAAATGGGAATTATTAGAACGCTCTTCATGCCGAAAGACAAAGCGACTGGCAAAACGTCGGGCTTTGCTTTCATCGAGTACTCCAGTCCCCAGGTATGCAAGATGTGGTGGAATTTTTCTATATCGTTTCTCAATCTACTTTGCAGGAGGCCCATACCGCTCGGGATCAAGCCGATGGGTATAAGCTCGACAAATCTCACGTCTTTATGGTGAGGATGTTCGATGACATTGACAAGTACATGAAAGTTCCTGAGCAGTGGGTAGCTCCAGAGATCAAGAGCTACGTGCCAGGGGTATGTCTTACTTTGTTGCTTACGTGCTTCTTTCTTTTCTTAAACACTATTTACTTTGCATCAGGAGAATCTTCTCGAATGGCTGATGGACGAGAAAGGACGCGATCAATTTGTGATACGATTTGGCACGGAGACAGAGGTGTGCTGGAACGATGCCCGTCTGTTGAAGGCCGAGACGGCATATCATCGATCGGTAGGCCGGGCTACTGTTATCTCTATCTGGTCTGATTCTCTTTTAAATAGTTCTGGACGGAAAGCTTTGTTCAATGGTCTCCCCTTGGGACGTATCTCGCAACAATTCATCGGCAAGGTGCTGTCATATGGGGTGGATGCACTAACTTTAGCCGGATCACTCGATTCATTCACCAACAGGTTGGAACTTCGACCTTAAATTTTGCTTCATCTGTTTTACCGTGTCAAACGTAGGTGCGGCTAATTGACTTCTCCCCATCCGAAAAGTTCCTCGTAACGTACAGCAGCCACGAACCAAGCAATCCCCGCGAAACACAAGTAAGTTCGAAGTTGCAACCGGTGTTGAGCTGGTCTGAGTACTTGCTATGATTTGGCAGAAAGTAGTGCTTAACGTTTTCGACGTACGAAGTGGTAAATCGCACCGAGAATTCAAGGGCAGCGCCGACGAGTTTGCTACTGGTGGGACTGGAGGTGTTGCCGGAGTGTCTTGGCCAGTGTTCAGGTTAGTTCGGATGATTACCATCTTAACTTGGGCTCAAATGCTACTTCCTATATCTAGGTGGTCTGGCGGCCGTGATGACAAGTATTTTGCGCGTATAGGAAAGCACTGTATAAGTGTTTACGAGACAGAGACCATGGGTTTACTGGACAAGAAGTCGCTGAAAGTTGACAATGTTATAGATTTTAGCTGGTCACCAACCGATTCAATTCTGGCCCTTTTTGTCCCAGAAGGCAACGGTGGCAATCAGCCTGCGAGGGTATGTATTTGTGTTTGATTTCTCTACATGTGACCTGGTTTGCTCTTGACTTCAACAGGTTAGCCTGGTTCAAATTCCTGGCAGGGAAGAACTGAGGCAGAAGAACCTTTTCAGTGTCAGTGACTGCAAGATGTACTGGCAAAGCAACGGAGACTATCTAGCAGTCAAAGTTGATCGGTATACAAAGACGAAGAAGAGCACGTATACCGGTTTTGAGCTCTTCCGGATCAAAGAACGCGACATTCCTATCGAGGTCTTGGAGCTTGAGAACAAAAACGACAAGATTATCGCCTTCGCATGGGAACCAAAGGGCCACCGATTCGCCATCATTCATGGAGATGGTCCTCGTCCCGACGTAACGTTCTACTCGATGAAGAGCCCAAACAACGTGGACCGTGTAACCAAGCTTGCCACGCTCAAAGGAAAGCAGGCAAATGCTCTCTACTGGTCGCCTGCGGGGCGCTTCATTGTGCTGGCGGGTCTCAAGGCGTATAACGGGCAGCTCGAGTTCTACAATGTTGATGATCTCGAGACTATGGCAACGGCAGAGCATTTCATGGCAACTGATGTGGATTGGGATCCCGCTGGAAGGTAAGCTCTTCTGAAACGAACTTATCCTTACCACCGGTCGTTTGCAGATATGTGGCTACTTCTGTTACTTCCGTGCACCAAATGGAGAACGGCTTCATTATCTGGTCTTTCCATGGGAAGCTGATATACAAGGTTTCAAGGGACAGATTCTTCCAGGTTTGGAAATTGTGAGTGCCATCCACTGCCGCCGACTGACGGTTGCTTGTGTTTCCTTACAGTTCTTGTGGCGCCCCAGGCCTCCATCTCTCCTTAGTAGCGAAGAGGAAGCCGAGATTTTTAGGAACTTGAAACAGTATTCCAAGAGGTATGACCAAGAGGACATAGAATCGTCGAGGTTCCACAGCACCCAGGAGTTGGAGCAGAGGAGGAAGCTGATTGAGGAGTGGAACGGGTGGCTGTCTTCGTGGAAGCAAATGCACGAGGCGGACAAGCCTTACCGGCAGGATCTTCGTGATGGCGAGCCCAGCGACGACGAGCAGGAGTACGAAGACGAAGAGGTCGAGATTGAGGAGGTGATCGACGTGGAAGAGATCAAGGAAGAGGACCTTGAGGCGTAAAATCATAATTGCGTTTATTGTTGAGTGAGGAATATACCTATATCTAGGTATATTCTAGGCATTTAATTTCGACCTTTACAAGTGTATTGATAGGGGTGGCGGGGATGCATATACTTTGGTATCCCAGGTACCCTTATCTAAATCAAACGAAAAGAATGCTTTATCACCGTTGCCCGAGACACAAGCAAAATTCATGAAGTTCCCGGCTTGTCCAATATAACTCAAGTCTTGGCAATTTTCCATCTTGCGCAGGCCCACATCCTTCTCAACACGTTGCCTCCACAAGGACTCCGAGATTATGATCTCGTACTGTAGACCTCCCACATCCTTGAGCACCAAGTAATAGAGCTTCCCCCTCCAAGGAGCCAGGACATACTCTACACGCGGGTTGTCGATTAAAAGCCTATGTGTCACACTCTTCCTTGCCAGATCAAAAAAGGCCACCTCCATACCCTTTCTACAGAGAACAACGTCTTGTGTCACCACCAGCAGCAGCGATCCATCGCGCAAGGCCCCCGTCACACTGTGCCACTCCGCTTGTCCGCGAGTGAAGCTCCAAACCACGCCATCCGAGCGCCACACCACAAGCTTGTAATCCCAGGGAGGGGACCAAGAACGCGTGGCAATGAGGCGGACCCTGGACATGTCTCCAAATTGCAGGTAGGGGATCTCCTCCCAGCGGTTGACGAAGGGACTCCCGACGAAGAGCCGCCTCACCTGTGTGGAGCGCGCGAGGAAGAGGCGCTTGTCTTGAGACACGGCGCACAGCCAGTCGGGAACGTCCTCCTCCACGTCCTCGAAATGCCGGGGCGCCCAACGCATCGCCTTGCCGCTGCTGTCCTGGATGCAATTGGCGTCGGGGAAGAGGCACGCGCTGTCCCTGTAAGATCTCCGGAAGGTGGGCTCGTCCACCACTGACCTCCACACGCGGCACACGCACCTGGCGCTTAGAACAGCCGAGAAGGGGAGCCTGGCGAGGATTTGAGCCACAACCTCGGGCATAATGCCCGATATCCCTGTGCCCCAGCACCCCTTCTTTGGAGACGCCATTAGCCCTTGCCCTTCCAGTCTCGATTTCTCGACTCAAAGGGCAATTTTTCTAGAACCTTTTCAAGTTCGGAAGTAAACCTTTTGTCCAATACGATAGTGTAGCACCATCACGACGTCGAGTTTAATCCGCCAGTGGCGCTTCTTCATCTGTCCCGCTGCTTCCCGCCTATCTGGCACCTCTCAATAATTTGGGTCCGGTGTTGCTCGAAAGAAATTGTATCTGTGAATGGGAATCGAATCGTGATGAGCTTCCTCGTGTTCGCGCAGCTACTACTCTGATGCTAATGCTCTTCTCTTAAGAAAAAGCTTGAATACACTTGGACCTTTGGTCACTGCCGCAATGTTAGTTTCTCACGATCGTATCCTGAACTTTGGCAGATGTGAGCTGCTGGAGCATCGACAGGCTCGAAAGCTCCGATGAGCTCGCGACGTCCAAAGCGTCTGCGGTGATAACAATGTAGAACTGAGGGAATATTTCATATTCCACCACGTCAGCATTAGGTCACGACGGTTAGAGGGGATATCCCCACATATAGGGGAATAAAGAGTTGCCAAGAAGAATGCCGAGGAGAATGGACTTCGCTTGCGTTGAGAGGTGAGAGAGCGATGTGCCTCCATAGGTGTCCACTTGCAAATTGACTCTTAGGTTCCCCGGGTTCTTCACTGGTGCACTGTCCAAACCCAATTTCTCAATAAACCTACAGAGTTAGAGTGAGAGCCAGTAGTTTTGTTAAACTGATCCAAAGATGAAGATTATCCAGACAAAGATGCTCCAGCTAGCTTTGCTTAGCCTTCTCTCACGTCCCAGACTACAGCTAAGCTTCAAAACTGGCTTTTTTGCAGCCAAGAGCTAATGAGGAAAACTTGCAAGTGCAGTGGAGCCCAGGTTTGGCCAAACAGGATCACAACAGGAGTATGCTCCAGAGGAGCTAAAAGGATGGGAGATCAGTGAGAAATCCCAGAATCTCCAACTCCTCTTCATCAAAAGTAGCAGAAACTGGAGGATCAGGAAGTGCCCTGAGGGGACAGCAAAGTGTGGGACGAGCAGCACGGTTGATATAATTGGTGGGTAAGGTGAGATCTGCCACACAGGCGTAAAGCTGCCTGCTCATAGAAATGGACAAGAAAAACGGTCAGGGTAGTTGCGAGGTCCAGCAGAAATGGTGGCAGAAGCTGGAAACACCGGATTGGAAGGTGGATGAGAGAGGCTCACCACACATTTCTGCTGGACCTTGGGACTGCCCTGGCTTGTCCAATTTTTCCTCCAGTTTTTACTTCTTTCAGTGAAAAGGAGTTGGAGATTGTGGGATTTCTCACTAATCTCCCATATACCCATTCTTGGCAAGTTTTAAATAGCTTTCTTCTAGCTCCTCTGGAGCATGCTCCTATTATGATCCTGTTTGGTCAAACCTGGGCCACCATTGCACTTGCCAGTTTTTTTTGCTAGCTCTTTTTTTTTTCCTGCAAAAAAGCCAGTTTTGAAGCTTGACTGTAGTCTGGGACGTGAGAGAAGGCTGAACAGAGCAAGCAGGAGAATCTTTGTCTGGATAATCTCCATCTTTGGATCAGTTCAACAAAACTTTAAGCGTTCCCACTGCTGTCTAGTCCCAATTTTACAACGACACTACTTACTCTAGCTCGAAATCCGTAAGTTTATTGAGAAATTGGGTTCGGGGAGAAATTACCTCTCAATGCAAGTGAAGTCGCTCATTCTTCTCGGCATTCTTGGCAGCATTGTAACTCTTTATTCCCCTCTTTGCTTCCACATCATCAAGCGTGAGCATGTCATCCAGGACCCATTCTTCAACTGGAGCAGTGTCTTGAGAAGTCTCACTATCATGACAGATTTCCACATCACCACTCTCATCTGGAGCATCGTGATCAGCTACAAAAACCTGGTGCAAAGGTGGTGGTGGCTCAGCTGCCAAAAAGCCAGGTTTGAAGCCCAGCTGTAGTCTGGGATGTGAGAAAAGGCTGAGCAGAGAGAGCAGGAGTGTCTTTGTCTGGATAATCTTCATCTTTGGATTGGTTCTACAAGCATCTTCATCTGGATCATCTTCATCCCCATTGTGGAAGATGTTTCCACTTGCAAATAGACTTCTAGGTTCTTCACTGTCAAAGTCACGGAAACTGTTGCCAGATCGGAAACATTATCTATAGCATTGCATTTATTTCTTGAAGGCTACACGGAGGTTGATTTCTCAGCAAGTTATCAAGGTGGAATGGTTTGAAAACTCAAGCACATGAATTACACCCGCAACTCCAGCTTTGGCTTTGTTACATGTCTAAGGGGAGTCATTGTGAGAGTGAGCCTCTCCAAGAAAAACAAACAAGAATGGAATCATCACATTCATCAGGCAACAAAGAACTCTCTAGGGAAACAAAACTTCTAAAGAAAGCTGGCCAAGGAGGCAGGGCATAGTAATCGCTCGAGCAGCCCTGGACACAGAGGTTTTGACAATCCGGCAATGGCTTTGATGCATGCACCCGAATTGCTGCTGGCGAGCGAGTCAGCCATCCGGCCCTCGCGACCGGCTTATCCCTGAGAGGAAGTACAACAAATGGATCATCTGAATTGCAAAAGCTTACCCCTCATCGCCACCCACATTGCTAGCGCCCGCGCTCGAATAGCCAGCCATCGCGAGCTCCTCCAGCCTAGAGCCAGCCATCCGGCCCTCGCAATCGGCTTGTACCTGACGGGAGCTAAGAAAGAAGAAGAAAAAAGGGGAAAAGTTACCCCATCAGAGCCCTCATCGGCGCCCACATTCCTGCTAGCCGGGATTGCTGGGCGCGCGAGCTGGCAATCGCAAGCCCCTCAAATCTCGCTCGTCCGCCATTCTAGGGCTTCTAAACGGCTATTTCCCTTTATAGGGGATCCCTCCAATCTTCTTTGTGAGAGCACGTTGTGGTCTCACGTAGACGCTCGAGTTTACAAGCAGCTCATGGCATGGATCTAGTCTGAAGATAACATATCGAGCTCACCTCTTTCGACGCAGGAGAATTCCATCGTCGTAAAACATCAACACTGTTAGGGCGCTCCCACACATTGCATATTTGTCCGAGATATTTGTGAGAGATTTTCGTGGGGAATTCGTACAATGTGGCTGAATGTGATCCAATTTCTTATCTGCTAAAACAAAAATTCCCCCGTTTTGGTCTCTAAAATTATCAATCGAGCCAGGGACCTTTGCTTTGATGAGTGTAATGTGTGTGAATGCCAGTCTCATTGTCAGGTCATGTTGTCTCTGATACTCCTACTAGAGCGACTTAAGCAGAGAGATTCTACAGAATTCTTCTAGATGACTGCGTCACTGCGTCCAACCAATGCTAAAGTCCTTGTAACACCAGCGTTTCCATGCTGCAGGGATACACCATGGTTTCCTCGGTTCCATCCAGCTCGGAAACTGCCAGTTTCCGTGTTGAGTGTCTCGAGTACTGAAGGTTTTGCTGTCAAGCCACGCACTGGTACCGAATCATAAAATGCTGCTTTGCCCTTCGATGAACAAGGAATAGAAGTTGTACATTAGAAAACCCACAACGTTTCGCTGAGGTGTCTCGAGTACGCCTTAGGCTGTGGTTGTTCCGAGTTGTGAAGCTGCATCGTTTCTTTTGTGCAGAAGATTCCAAGGTCTGAAATATTAGTTGCCAGTGCATATAGAAATGAATCAGGAATCTAAAAGAGCTCTCGTCCGCTCGTGAAGGCTACGTCGACCACGAGCTACCCGCTAATCACAACTCGAGCTTCTCCAGCTCGAGGAACTAAAACATGTCACACAAGCATCCTTCAGCCGTGCAACGTCCCTTGCAATACCTTCGCACCACTCCTGAGATAAAAACTTGTACCACCTCGTCATCGGCCATGACGCGCAAGTGATCGTCATCATCCACTTTCGTCACGATCTTGGACGTGTTCACCTTCGTTCCCCTTCCAAAGCCGTTGATCGGATAAATTCTCCTTCAGTCATGATGTACAAAAACATTGCACCCTACGAGAGAAGCTTGGGAACCGCAGAACCTGAGCCTCATGTACATGAGTGTGTCCCTGATCTTGACGACGACCTCTTGGTTTCTATACTTTGCTCGCACCGCCACCACGGAGTAGTTGGCGTTTCCCTCACGATGCAGCGGCAGCATGCGCATAAAACTTGTACCCGTCTGTCACCACGTTTTCGACAATCTTGCGTGCATCCACAAGGTCGCAGAGCCCGTAGACGGTTCTCAAGTCTTCCATAACTGGCACAGAGTCGAACTTGAGCAACTCGCTCCTCGCCATCTTCTTCCGCTCCTACTTCCTCGCCACATCGATTACAAAACCAAACGCCTTCAGCGGGTTCTGCATCGCAGGCGAAACCAGCAACGAGTGCCTGCTCGCTCTTCGGCACAGCCACGAAGAATTGAAGTTTGTCATCACCCCGGTTCGAGCTCCAGTAACTTCCATGTAGTTGAAGCACTCTGTCTGGCAAGTTGAAGAAGCCGAGCAAGATCAGCAACACTGGAATGCCATTCCGGGTCACGCACCTGGCAATGGTGTGCGAGTCCAAAAATCTATATACCTAGGAGGAAACAATTCACCATGGAGATGAGGTAGTCCCCTTGGCCTAGAGCAAGGAACGATGTAAAGTCTCGTCTAGCAGGATTTCTATGACCCAGTCCTCCACGCGATATGACTACCAATTTGTCAAGCGCATATAGCGGCTTGAAGATACACTTCTCTTTGACAATCCCATGGACTTCGGGATAGGCAATTTGCATGGACTGCTTGAGACTCACAACCGGAAGCCAGTCATTGAACGCCTTCAACACCGTGACGATCTCCGAAGATATTGCTCTCGCTTGCGCCAAAACACTTTTAACCTAAACAAAATCCAGGGACGAATTTCAATCGCCATGGGGTTTGTCCAGTGTGGAAGCGTCAGAAGCTCTCATTTAAAATGCTGCGATGAGATTGCCATGTAATGGCCGTGCCGGGCGTGGATCGTGGGATTCTGATGGTTGTCACACTTGATCCACAGGTGTTTGTGAAGATGCCATGTCCAGTGTCACGGGGGTGATGAAGCTCGAGATTTCAAGTGGGAGAGATGGTGAGCATTAAAGGTTTCTTTCGCCCTGTTGCTCCCTCAGTAAACTATGCTTGGCATGGGCATCTTGCGGAAAACATCTCTCGCTTTTGCCATATACCTGCTATGAAGGAACCATAAGAGTACAGATCATGACATCCTTCTCGGGCATTCCAAGGAAACAATCACAAACTTGAATGATTGCCGTTCCTAGACAGCTATCCTGTTTTGGACGCTCTCCCATGGAGCAAACTCTTCTATGTTTCAAGGGACTGGAGCTTGAGCTTCGTGAGCAGGAGGGAGCAGGGAGTAATCAGGCTAGAAATCGGCGTAGTGCTTCAGCTTGAAATCTCACTAGGATATAAGGTCATTCAAAGCCTATTTAAATTAGCATATTCATGGAACAATTTCATGCTAAAGAACTTGCATGCTCTACTTCTCTCGAGCTCTGAGTATAGACACGACAAGAAGCTTTTCAGCCAGTTGATCCGTGTGTACGGAAGATGTGGCCGCCTTGCGTGTGCCCTGGAGGTGTTTCGAGCACTACCAGAGCACAATATCTTCTCTTGGAACAACATGATGCAAGCATATGCCCAGAATGGCTATCAAGAAAAAGCGCGAGGGTTTTTCGATCGCATGCCGCGGAGAGATACTGTTGCGTGGACGACAATGCTAGGGGCTTACGCGCTCAAGGGTTTCGTGGCGGACGCCAGGAAGGTCTTTTTGGACATGCCCGAGAAAAACTTGGTTGCGTGGAATGCAATGTGTCAAGCATATGCCGCGAATGGGTACCTTGAGGAGACAAAGATGGTGTTGGAGAGGACTCCTCAGACGGACTTTGTGACTTGGACAATGCTTATTACTGTTTATGCACAGAATGGCGATATCGGAGAGGCAAAGTTGGTGTTTGATACAATGCCGGAGCGCAACGAGGTGTCATGGAACGCAATGGTGACCGCAAATGCCCAGAAAGGACGTATCGATGCCGCTAAGCTGCTCGTAGAGAAAATGCCTTTGGTGAGTCTCATTGTGTGGAACGCAATCATTCAAGGCTCCGAAGTTTGTGATGCGGAGAATTTTTTCCTTGGAATGCCCGAGAAGGATGTCATATCTTGGACTCTCATGGTTCCTAGATACGCAAAGAGTGGGTATATGGCAAAAGCGAGAGATATTTTCCGCAAGATGCCAGTGCGAAGTGTAGTTTCATGGACAGCAATGCTGGTGGCATATGCCGGGAGCAACAACTTGGCGATGGCGAAAAAAACCTTCGATGCTATGCCGGAGAGAAACCATGTCTCGTGGAACGCGTTGCTCCAGGGCTATGGAGCGGCCGGGCATGGCACCGAATTGAGGATGACGTTTGAAAAGATGCCCCTCAAAACAATGTCGAGTGTGACGGTGGTGATGGAGTTCGAGGCGAAAATGGGAGAGATGGTGGAGGCTAAGCAAGTGTTTGATGATAATGGGATTGGTGAATCAAGCGTGGTTTCGTGGACAACCATGGTGGTGGCTCACGCTCACCGGGGCGATATCGAGCAAGCTAAGAGCCTCTTTGACGAAATACCCGAGAAGGACATGGTTGCCTGGAACACCATGGTCCACCTCTATGCCCAGCACGGGCATTACATGCTCGAGGCCAAAACCACCTTCGATCTCATCCCCCGGCGTGATGTAGTCTCGTGGAACACCCTGCTCATTGGATATGCGAACAATGGCGATCTCGCCGCAGCTCTCAAAGTTTTCCACACCATGCCAATGAGAGACACGGTTTCCTGGAACGCCACGGTGACCATCTACGCATCCAGTGGATTCATGGAAGAAGCTCGCGAGATCTTTGAGCAAATTCCCGGGAGCAACAACACCATAACCTGGGACGTGATGCTCGAGGCCTACACCGCGCGGGGCCTGGGAGAAGAAGCTCTTGAGCTCTTCCGGCTCATGGCCGTGGAAGGCATCCGTCCCGATGAGGCGGCGTTCGTGAGCATCTTGAACTCGTGTAGCCACCTCGGGCTCCTGGCAGAAGCTCGGCTCCAATTCCAGTCCATGAGCCAAGACCACGGCCTGGTGCCTGCGAGGGAGCATTACTGCTGCGTGGTGGACATTCTGGGCCGCTCCGGCCGGATGGGCGATGCGGAAGAGCTTTTAAAAGCCATGCCTTTTGTTCCGGACGAGGTGGTGTGGGCCTCCTTCCTCAACTCGTGCAGGATCCACAGTGATTTGGAGCGCGGGGGCCGAGCTGCCAAGCTCAGCTCCAATGACGCCAGCCACTATCTTCTCTTGGCGACCAATTTTTCCACAATATCTTGATCTGAGCACCACCATTTCGACTGTGTTGACAGAGCTCCTCGAAGCTTGGAGGGCGAGGAAGGGGATGTAGCTCAGATGTAGGGCAATCGCTTCGCATGCGATAGGTAAGGGGATCGATGCCACAGGGAGGGAGAGAGAGAGAGAGAGAGAGAGAGTGGCTTTGATCATCTTAGTGAATGAGTAGCGATTGAGAATTTCGCATCCGTTTTGGTTTGTTGTCATCAACAATTTTACGGTCAAAGATTTTAGGGGCATCCGTACGCCCCGCCTGAAAGGAATTGAACTGGTGTCATGGTTCCTACACACCTGGTCACACTCCATCTAGTCTATGGAGTTGGGTCCTTGCATTGATCAATTGGAAGAATGTTCAATTGATCCTTGTAGTTTGTGATTTGCTACCACAAGTGGAATTACACAAGATCATGAGATCTCTCATTCATTTGCCACTGAAGCTTGATCATGCAATGGAGGGTGACAAACAAACGAGGACAAAGGGACAGCAGTCTAGTGATCAATCATGAGAGCAATGTTGTGAGACTTGATGACAATTAGGCTTATATATAACAAGACAAGATGGGATTGATCCCAATGCTCCTACGGGCGTGCCAAAAGGATTTCAAAGGAGTGGTGATGAAGGACGTGAGACTAACCAGGCAGAAGGTGGTAGTGGCATACAAGATGTTACTTAGCACACAATTATACTCATCTCATTTCAATCTCAACTCCAATAATGTCAATATCACAATATCGCCTCAATGTTATCAACATTAGAACAAAGTTAAAAGAAAGCAAGAGTGAATCACCATTTAAAACTCTCTAGCAACCAAGGTTGAAGATACTTTATTTAGTATCCAAGATCAATTCTTCAACTTCTCAGCTATAGATAACACACTATTAAAAAGTGAATCATTACATCCAAGGCTTAATATAATCCAACGGTGTGTTTAGTCCAGTGGTTGACATGATATCAATAGAGGTGGAACCAATATGCAAAAATGGAAAAACTATAAAAGCCCAAGAACATGATTCTTTGTAATAATATCTGGTAAGTAAGCCTATCATTGCTAAATCATTATTAAGCTAAGTAAGTGCTAGTAATCCTCAACAAAGCCTATAAATAATCACTAGTTGTAAAACAACCAAACACTAAACTCATATCATTAAGTTATATACTTGTCTAACAAGAAAATAACACACTAGGTACAACATATAAAAACTTTGACAAGTATAAATAAAATGACCACTCAAATCCAATCTAACTATGATAAGCTCACTAACATGTCCAACTAACAGCTTTGATCATAATTGAATAGGCTAACTGTGCATAATCAAAACCCAATTGAAATTAAAGTGAAGATTATGAGATAGATTTACACGGTATACAACTTCTTAATAAACAAGGCTTCAATATAGGTATTAACATCTCAACTGTAAAAAACTAAGTTGGACATCACTATCCTTAACTAGGGTATAGGGCCACTAAAAGTTCACTACTCTTATAAAATTTAACAAAATGCAAAGTGCAACATGCCATTAAATATAATATACAAAAGAAAAATACAAATGTCATTTTTCTAGAAAAGCACAACAACTACTTTTCTACACTAATACCAGACTTTATCCAACTTAATTGCCTTAACCCCAAAAGTTAACATTCCTCAAACTGCATCATACAAACTACTTACTAAAGTTTAAGCCAACCAAAGTCAAATCTAACCCTTTCACTAACTTGCAATGGCTCATAAAAATAAAATGGTTTCCAAGCAAAATGATCAATAAACTAACCATTGAAAAAGTCTAAAAAAAATTTTGGAAATTTTTCCATCTTAAAGAAAGAATGACTCAACTAATTCCTCTTACCTACAACATCATATCAGTTCACTTTAACACAAATTCTTATGACATAATAAAATATATAAGCATCTACCAAAATGCCCATATACTTGATATCAAATATTGATATCCACAAAAATGCAAAATAAACATCCAAGATTGGATCACAAAGACCATATCTTTTGATATCCATATTGCACTAACACTTTTGTTTAATCACTTTCAAGATTAAATGTGAAGCCAAAACATTAATAAAAAAAATGATAAGTTCTAAAGATAATTCCCCATCACTCGATTCCATTAATATAAGTGTTAACAATATCAATATCTCAACTACACACTTTCTCCATTTAACACTTGGAGTAGTTCAAGTGTTAATAGATCCACTAATAAGCTACAACAAATAAATGTTATAACCTTCTCAAAACTCAATATGTAACTCTCAAGAAACCAAGATACCAACTTAAATTTAGCATAATGAATTACCATAGAGAACCAAGTCAAATTTACTTTAATGCTACTATTTGCAAGTAGACTAGCTTCTTTATCAACCACTTTGGGGTTGATCATCATTTGATCAAGCAACTTCGTAAATCATATGGATATGATATAAATATCACAATGACTTAACCATCAATTGAGTAACATCACAAGCAACACCAATGTCACTATTACAAAGATTTACGTGAATAACAAAATACAACATAATGTTACACCCCATCAATAGAGTTACAATAGTTAACACTACTAACTTTTGTTCACAACACAGATAAACTCATGCCACTCTCTATCAAACCAAACTCAAAACTAATCCAATATTAAGTTATTCAAGGAATAATAGCAAAGTTCCTTGGAAAAGAATAAAGTATTATAACCCAAGCTTTCCAATAGTAAGTTTGAGTTTAAGTACTAATATAGATCATGGGGTGAAAGCCCAAATAGATTGTCCCCCATACGGGGGGGGTTGGGTGGGGGGTTGTAGGGGCTTTTAAAAGTATAGTAAAGATAGTGAAGTTAAAGACTTAGTCTTGAAAAAACCTTCCAATAATACTTCCAAATCGAGTTGAGGCTAGAATTGGGGGTTGGTAGCTTTGGGTGGGAGTAAGGATAAACTTGGGGTGTGCCAAAGAAGCTCTTTAAAGAAGTGTTCAAGAACAACTCTTACTCATAGAAAGGCAACTAACTGACAATGCTCTCGGCTCATATGAAGTGATGCCCCACTTGAGTAGTATAAGGCTCATTGGTCCTTGCCCCTTTCTAGGGGCTTGGGCCTTCCCTTTGGGATGGAGGTGGGGAGTTGTAGTGCACCTAAATTGCAGGAGCTAAACTAATGTCTCAGATGGTCAGACATGCATTCTAACCACTATCCCTACTATATATTTGAAACCCCTCATAGCGCCCCCCCCCCCCCCCCCCCCCCTTGAGGAACACACACTTTGGGCTTTCAGCCCAAGCCTCCCTTAGTACCAAGAGTTAATCTTTGGGATAAGCTTAAAACTTACTAAATATGAAATGTCCTTATATTGTGAATTTAGACACGGGACAAACACCATTGTGTTCAAGACAATCTCTACATTCTGTAGATATGCCAAATGAGTAAATCTAAACACTTTCCATAATTAGCATTTGGGACTGAAAAAAGAGCATGATAGCAAGGGTGTTTGGCAGACACGGTAAGCTATCATACAGTGATATTGAGGGACTAGACTCAATACATGAGGGTTCTTGTCACTAGCCAATGCAAGACATAATGAGATGGGAACTCCTTACTGGGCTAAATATGCTTAACTAATAGCATGTAGGAATTCTGTCCTTATGCTTGTCCAGTCTAAGTACACTCGAAATGCCTAGTTAACTCCACTAGCACAAGAGGGGTTACCAAAGGGATCCAGCTGTACTGACCTCCTACCATCATGGTAGTCAAGAAAGAGTGTCCATAAGGATTTGCTGACAAGTATATTTTGATATCCGAAGTCACATTTGCGACACTCTCCCCCCCTTGGGGAAGATTGACGTCCTCGTCAATGCATACCTAAGTTTAGTAAACTGTTAAGGCCAAAGACATTAAGACTCAAACACCCTCCGGCCGTCACTGACAAGGAAATGACTAACGGAGTTAGCCACCTTTGCTGCTCCAAGTACCACTCGGCTTACAAAGGAATAATACATCCCTGCCTACAGGGACATAGGGAGAAGGCCAAAGGCCCAACTTCCCCTGAGCAAGAAATCAATCCCGTCGGGAAGATTTAGACAACTATTATAAACTAGCAAATGAAGTTGTTTACACGACCATGCCCTTTTTTCAAGAATGAGTTATCGAGAGAGAGGTGGGGACCTGTGATCAGTCTATAATAATTATCCCCATGGTTATGGATTGGACCCATGCACCGAAGTGCCGAAGTCAACCTGCCAAAATTGACCCCAGTATTAACAAACGAGAGAGACAAAGCTTTGATTTATAGAAATTTATTACTTTATTGATTTGTAAGATTTATTACAAAGTTTACAAAAGCTAGTCTTTATTACTATTTTCATACTCTATGACAAGCTCACGAGCATGTGTAAGATTCCTAAGAGGTTCCCAAGTTGATTCACAAGTCAGGTAACCTTTCCATTTAACTAGATATTCCTTCGCATGAGCCCGTCTCTGAAATCGAGAATCCAAGATAGTTTCAACTTTGTATTATAGTTCACCATCCACAATGTCTGGTGGCGGACAAATCTCCCCATGTCGTGCAACATCTATAGTGTAAGGAGCCAAATAGATTGGCATGAAATACATTATGAATATTGGACATCTCTGCAAGAAGATCCAATTGATAGGATACATCACCATTTCATTTCAATACCCAATAGGGTCCAACATATCTCAATAACAGCTTTCGAGACAAAGGTTCCTTAATGTTCAAGTTCCAAGAAGATAGCCACACATGATCTCCCATTTGATAGGATACATCCTGACGATGCTGATCTTTATCACATTGATACCTATCCTTAGCTTTGCCCGTCGCCTCAGTAGCTCTAGACCAACCTTGGCGTAGCTGCTTTGCATAAGTCTCAATGGCCGGGACCAACACTTCAGACATTAGTTTTAGTACAACAATCTATTAAGGCACCCCACGAACATTCCTTTGCAACATCTCCCATGGAGAACAGCCAATAGTGCT